ACTGGCGCATATCTCGAAAAGTAGCAGGGAAAAGCAGCAAAGCACCTATATGGAACGAAAGATGAGTAATCAGAGGCTAGTATAAGATGTTCATTTTTAGCCGCTCGAAATAACGTTTTTTATAAAAGTCTATTTAAAAATTTAGATATGATTTTTATTATGGTCTTGCAGCTGCTTGCAAAAAGCTAGCTTATCTTGCAGAAAAGCGATGCAATATGTAAGAATGTTGTTGGTACAGTGAACAACAGTGCCCTGAACTAGTCTGACAGAAAATTGCGTTCAAAACGACAACTGGTCAACTAATAAATATCAACTAAAGATAAGCATTTAAATCGGCAAATGTGGTGGCCACTAGCGGGTCTAAATAGTCTTGTGTTTGGTGACAACTGACCACCTCAATTTCGACCTTAGGGCAAAAATGGCATCAGAATCGTATGCTTTGATCAATTTGGGATCGAATGATACATATTTTGTTCATATTGTGGAAAGTCACTCTTGGGGGTATTTCTAGCGCTTTTCCGGTCCGCTGGCCCAGCGTGCGGCGGCGGCCGCTCCGCGGAGTGGTGAGTCGGCCGGGCCGGCGGCGCCCGCTCCGTGGAGGTGCAGACCGGTCGATCGGTGCACATTATTGATGTGTTCTGCCGCCGGACCGTCCAAACGGCTGACCGGCGCGGCGGACCGGGGGCCGTCCAAACAGCTCACCGGCGGACCGGGGGCCGTCCAAACAGCTGGCCGGGGCCCGGCAGACCGTCCAAACAGCTCACCGGCGGACCGGGGCCGTCCAAACAGCTCACCGGCGGACCGGGGCCGTCCAAACAGCTCACCGGGGCCGTCCAAACAGCTCACCGGGGCCGTCCAAACAGCTCACCGGGGCCGTCCAAACAGCTCACCGGCGGACCGGGGCCGTCCGAACAGCTCACCGGGGCCGTCCAAACAGCTCACCGGCGGACCGGGGGGGCCGTCCAAACAGCTCACCTCGCCGGCAGACCGTCCAAACAGCTCACCTCGCCGGCAGACCGTCCAAACAGCTCACCGGCGGACCGGGGGCCGTCCAAACAGCTCACCGGCGGACCGGGGGCCGTCCAAACAGCTCACCGGCGGACCGGGGCCGTCCAAACAGCTCACCGGGGCCGTCCAAACAGCTCACCGCGCCGGCGGACCGGGGCCGTCCAAACAGCTCACCTCGCCGGCAGACCGTCCGAACAGCTCACCGGGGCCGTCCAAACAGCTCACCGGCGGACCGGGGCCGTCCACACCACGGCTAACTTACCACGGCCGGCAGACCGTCCACACCACGGCGGACCGGGGGCCGGGGCCGCGCCGCGCAGGGCGACGAGCCAGGGGTACGAACCGAACTCGCCGAAAAGGAGACGAGTCGGGAGGGTACCTCGCCGTGCTGGGTCCTCTCGACTCACTCCCTGCACCCGGCCGGCCCGTGACGCGTGACGGCGTCTTACCGCTGGCGTGACGCCGTCACGGGCCGGCCGGGACGCGCGGTGTGGCGGACAGGGCGCACGCAGTCAGTGTGGCCGCTGAGGTCGCGCCCGGCCGGCCGCCCCGCAGCGGTGTCAAAGGACCGGCCTCACTGTCTGACGGCTCCGCTCTGTGGCTCTGAGTGCCACTCGCAGAGTGGGTCGGTGGGCCGCACCCGAGGGAACGCGCACTGGATCCTTTCACGTAAATGAACACTTCAATCCACCTGGGAGTATATACCTACTGTCCGAACCCGAGCTCATCTGCAGCGCCCTGTGGAACAAGTCATTGTCAATAGCATTCGGACAGCTTGGTGCTTATTTTGCTTACTCTTCTATTAGAATGTCCTGCTTTACACTTGCTTAACTGATATTAAAACTGAATCATGAGTTTCCGGGTTAACTGTGACGCCCGAATTAATGGCCGATGGGTGTTGATAGTGGCGGCCAAGGCCCTAAAGACACGCGGCGGCGGCGTTAGCAGCGTTAGCAACGTTACCCTGTGGTGGGCCGGCATTAGCCTGTGGTGGGCCGGCGTTAGCAGGCGCTGGTGCACTGTTAGCCGTGTGGTGGGCCGGCGTTAGCCTGTGGTGGGTGGGCGTTAGCATGTGGTGGGCCGGCGTTAGCCGTGTGGTGGGCCGGCGTTAGCAGGCGCTGGTGCAGCGTTAGCAGGCCCTGGGGCGGCGTTAGCCTGTGGTGGGCCGGCGTTAGCAGGCGCTGGTGCACTGTTAGCCGTGTGGTGGGCCGGCGTTAGCCTGTGGTGGGTGGGCGTTAGCCTGTGGTGGGCCAGCGTTAGCCTGTGGTGTGCCGGCGTTAGCAGGCGCCGGTGCAGCGTTAGCAGGCGCTGGTGCAGCGTTAGCCTGTGGTGGGCCGGCGTTAGCAGGCGCTGGTGCACCGTTAGCCTGTGGTGGGCCGGCGTTAGCAGGCGCCGGTGCAGCGTTAGCAGGCGCCGGTGCAGCGTTAGCAGGCGCTGGTGCAGCGTTAGCCGGCGCCAGCAGGCGCTGTGGTGGCGTTAACAGACTCTGAAGGCGGGACGCCGGATATGTGGAGGCGGGACGCCGGATAGCCCAGCGGCAAATGATGCGGCTGTGGGCTGTGTAGTGCCGTGCTGATGGTAATGGGCTACTGAGGACAAGCTCTGTAAGGACCCTACTTTGCCGACTCTGTGGGAAGGCTGGTGCGGTGAGGTTTGTGTCCGGGTGTCCAGGAATCACATTATTATTGTGCCGTTGTTTCAAAGGCTCATTATTATTGATAAATTAGCCGTTAGGCAATTATGGTAGCAGAAATGGATTTGTGCTGCTCGTTCCATTGTGTGTAGGGCTGATAATCCCGGGATCGGGATCCCGGGATCCCGGGATTGTATTAATCCCGAATCCCGGGATTAGAAGCATCGGGATTTCGGGATCCCGATATTTTCCGTACAGAAACATCGTTCATAAAGTGTAGCTGATAGTAGGTATGTAAAAAAAGGTAAGTGAGTAACAACGCATTACAGTGCAGTTTTATGTCCAAAGATCTTACTTACGCCGTGCAAAGTCGTTATGCACAAGTATTGGTTACATATATACCTAATTGACATTGTTTCACACCGTCTCAGCCTTCACAATGTGGCGAGAGACGAGCTCTCTCGGCTCATCTCTCGCTCCCCGCGACGCAGGGGCGGATCCAGAAAATCTCCAAGGGAGGGGCCATTAGAAACCAGGAGGCCCCCCCCCCCATAATCCCACCTGTTGGAGGCCCCATCTTCCCACTTGTTGGCCCCCCCCCCCCAAAAAAAAAACTGCGTCTATTGAGCTTATCTAGCTGTTCAGGCAACATCTCAACATCTGTGCAGGCTTGGAGGCCCTCTGTGCAGGTTAGGAGGCCCTGTAAAAGTGGTCATCTCTGTGAGTATAAGAGACCTCCAAGTTATGAAAAGCTTTACCAATCTTCTAACAAAGAAGTCTTCTCAGCTAGTCTTCTAAGAAATAACTAAGTGGGTAGGTTAAAAAAAAAACTCATCGGATTTCGGCCACTTTATTTTCAGGAGGCCCCCTTTTCAGCTTTTTAACTTTTTAACTTTTTATTTTATTTTTGAAAAAAAATCGGCCAAGGGGGGGCCATGGCCCCCATGGCCCCCCCCCCTTGTATCCGCGCCTGCCGCGACGTCCCTCGCGTACTCGGTTTAACAGATCATTTTGCACGATGACATACATACTATGCCGACTATCGAATTCGAGTCCATCGAGTGGGAGGAGGTCGGCCGTCTTCTCTGTGTGACTGTGGGAGCACGTCTGGTGGCTCAGTTACTGTCAGTCAGTGCCCCGTGGCTGGACGATCCATGAGGCTGGCCGGGCGCCCTGGGCATGGTTACCGTTAGTGAATAATTATTAATTACGTGCCTTTGTGATAAGCTATAGCTAACTTTGCCAAAATGTCGGATTTTGCTGAATTTAAAGGCAGTGCGGTGTGGGACATTATCTAAGAAGTCAAGATGGCCACACAGCAAAGTGTCGTCTTTGTAAAAAGGTACTGAAAATACCTGGAGGTTCCACCAAAGGACTTCACGTCCACCTCAGGAGCAAGCATGGTGGTATGAGACCCAGAGCAAGGCACCAGTTCATGCCCGTCTGGGATTAACTTTTCGCAATCTTCTCTGATGATGACGAAGGCCATAAGGAAAGAATTGGAAAATTTACCTATCTCAGGAAGGACAGGCATGGTAGCGCTGTCCTACAACTGGCTGAAGGGCATAGTTCCTACGAGCGTTGAATCGGAACGAGTGTTTTCCACTGTCGGGAATATCGTCACAAAAGTGCGGTCGAGTCTCGGCGACGAAGTCGTTGATGCACTTTGCTTCCTCAAGTGCTACTACCGTAACAAGTGAATGTGACCAGGACATGCTGCTGGTCAGACGACCACAATCCGTAGGCACGTCTACTGTATCCTGACTCGAAATATAAACAAGAAATACAATGATCAATGTCATTCATGCTCTTATATTTGTTCGGGGTGAAGGTGTATGCCTGGTATTGTGTTTATGATGGTAAGGATGCGCCATATACATACGATATTGCAAGAAAATTCTGCTTTGTAGACAGGTTAAAATAAAAACTGCTCAATCCCGGGATCCCGGGATATCCCGGGATTGCATTTCTAAAATCCCGGGATCCCGGGATTGCCAAAAAGTCCCGGGATTATCAGCCCTAATTGTGTGGTGGCTGTGGCCGGTGCAGTGTTTCGGACAGCCAGCCTTCCCGACATGGCTCCGGACCAGAACGGTGCCAGGAAGTTCTATGGCCTTGGGTGCCAGCCAGTGGCGGCCCTCATTGAGACACGCCGGTCGTTCCCATGGCAACGCCTTGTCGCGTGCTCGGGTGCCCTGTTTTACGTCGATTACCTCTAACGACCCAACGACGACCTTCCCACGCCTGGCGTAGTTTCTGTGACGCACCCGCAGGCTTTGGGCTGTGTGCCGTAGATTTAGTGACGTACCCGGCGTGTATGGCGCGGGCCTGACCTGCCCCTCCCCTTCCCCCGCCGCAGGTGACCAAGGCGTCGAACGTGTGGTCGCTGGGGGTGCTGATGTGGGAGCTGCTGGCGTTCGCGGCGCTGCCGTACGCGCCGCTCTCAGACGATGACGTCATCCAGCACGTGGTGATGGACAGAAACGTGCAGCTGTCGCGGCCCAAACTGAGCACCGGATCGCCGCACACGGACAGAATGTGAGTACATACAGCCGCACACGGACAGTACATACAGCCGCCCACGGACAGAATGTGAGTGGGGCACTGGGTCGGACCCCGGGACGGGACCGGCAGAGGTAGCGTGTGAGTGACTCCTCACACGCCCGGCCTCCGGCCTGTCCCTCCCACTCAGAACGACAGTAGGTACGGAACTCAGACGCAGGTGTCTCGATTGTTGCCGTGTAAGTGTTTCATTGAGTTTGTCTTTGTACCGGTATTTTTCACTGCCTATGAACGAAGTACAATCATGCTGCCGGCCCGACAGCAGGTTCTGTCAATGAGCCTGTGGATGGCCGCGGTTCCATGTCACTGTCATTGTTCCATTCCACAAAGGTGATAAGAGGAAGCCTGGCGCGCGTCCCAGGTGCATCTCTCCGCATGGTACCGCATGATGCGGGCCCGTACAGACGCCCGCTGTACTGTGTGCCAGGTACCACGTGACGCCGCTGGGTGTCCCAGGTACCACGTGACACAGCTGTACTGACGCCCGCTCTGTGTCCCAGGTACCACGTGACGTCCGCTGGGTGTCCCAGGTACCACGTGACACAGCTGTGTGTGCCAGGTACCACGTGACACAGCTGTACTGACGCCCGCTGTGTGTCCCAGGTACCACGTGACGCAGCTGTACTGACGCCCGCTGTGTGTCCCAGGTACCACGTGACACAGCTGTATTGACGCCCGCTGTACTGTGTGCCAGGTACCACGTGACACCCGCTGTGTGTGTGTCAGGTACCACGTGACGCCCGCTGTGTGTCCCAGGTACCACGTGACACAGCTGTACTGACGCCCGCTGTGTGTCCCAGGTACCACGTGACACAGCTGTACTGACGCCCGCTGTGTGTGCCAGGTACCACGTGACACAGCTGTACTGACGCCCGCTGTGTGTGCCAGGTACCACGTGACACAGCTGTACTGACGCCCGCTGTGTGCGCCAGGTACCACGTGATGCAGCTGTGTGTCCCAGGTACCACGTGACGCCCGCTGTACTGTGTGCCAGGTACCACGTGATGCAGCTGTACTGACGCCCGCTGTGTGTGTCAGGTACCACGTGATGCAGCTGTGTGTGTGCCAGGTACCACGTGACACAGCTGTACTGACGCCCGCTGTGTGTGCCAGGTACCACGTGACACAGCTGTACTGACGCCCGCTGTGTGTGCCAGGTACCACGTGACACAGCTGTACTGACGCCCGCTGTGTGTGCCAGGTACCACGTGATGCAGCTGTACTGACGCCCGCTGTGTGTGTCCCAGGTACCACGTGATGCAGCTCTGCTGGCTGCCGCCCGGCCAGCGGCCCACCGTGCACCGCATCCACGCGCTGCTCTCGCAGCTGACGGCGCCGCCCAGGGACGACTTCGAGGAGAGGTGAGCAGCCGGGGGAAGAGGAGAGGAGTAGGGGGAGAGCGGAGGGGCTGGGAGGCAGAGCTGAGGAGACGGGAGGCAGAGCGATTGTGTGGTGGGAAATATCAGCAGCTGATATTTCCCACTTCAGCTGCTGAAGACCCCCACTCCGTCTGACCCCCTGACCCCCCGCTGCCCCGCCCCCACTCCTTCTGTGAGTTCTGACCCCCTGTCCCGGCGCTGCCGTCAGGTGGGAGGCGCTGCGGCCGCGCGGCCGTGCCGACGGCGGCTCCGACTCTGAGTCCCCGGAGCCGGCCAGTCTGGACTCGGAGCTGCACGACGCGCTGCGCAGCCTGGACAGGATGCTGGCGGCCGAGGAGCCGGCGGCGCCGGGCCCCGGCGGCGGGCCCGCGGCCGGCGACCACCCGCCGCCGGCAGAGGACCCGGACGGACAGAGCGCCGGCAGCGGCGGCAGCGGCGACGGCCGGCTGGCGCGCGAACAGTCGCGCAGCGTGCAGGACTTCCTGACGCTGACGGCGCCGCTGGACAGCCTGGAGTACGGCAGCGAGCGGGCCGACAGTGACCCGGAGCCGGCCGGAGAGCCGGCGAGGGCGGCCGACCCGGAGCCGGAGCCGGAGCCGGAGTCCTCTGTGAGTACACGGGCCCAGCGGCCGCTGGTGGAGGGAGCGGCGCGCGGGCCGGCGCTGTCGGCGCCCGCGGCCTCTGCATGTCTGCCGGAGCGGCCGGCAGCCGGCGGCGGTCTCCCGGCTGGTGGTGGTGACGGTGCTGGGGCCCTCGGAGACGGTAGCGGCACGCCGCCGGAGGAGGAGGTCGGCGCGGGTGGCGGGACGGCCGCAGCGCCCCGCACGCCGCATGCGGTGCCGCAGCTCTGTCTGACAGAGGCCACGCCGCCCCGACAGCCCGACACCGGCCAGCAGTCCCTGCAGAGCTCGCAAGCGGAGGAGCCCCCAGCCACTGAGCCCCGTGCTTTCAGGCTCGTTTTAAATGAGAACAGCGACGGCAGCAGTAAACTGGCGTCAGATTCTGAGACGAACTGTGAGGGGTGTTTGGCGAGTGATGCCGGTGAGAGTGCGGACCTGGGCGCGGAGCTGAGCACTGCTGCGGGCAGCGAGTACTTCACTGCCGCCGACAGCACGCTGGCCGCAGAGCTGAGCGTTGTGGACGGCCCGGCCGCGGACAGTGTGACCGACTCGTGTGCCGCCGGGGACGGAGACCTGTCGGGGAGGCTCGGCCTGCGACTGACCAGCACACCGCGCGGCCGGCGCAGTCCCTCCTTCAACGAGTACATCGGCTCGGCCTACCAGACGGCCGTCGAGACTCAGCCGGACGCCTCTGCCGACACGCTGATGGGCAGCCGCCACTCGGCGCCGGCCTACGCGCCGCTGGCCGGCGACGACCTCAGCGCCGGCAGCGAGCCGGGCTGCGACGCAGCCCTGCTGGCCGACGACGGTGACGACGAGCTGGACATGGCCAGCCTGCGCCGCGAGGCGGCCGGCGGCGGCGGCGACGTGCCCCGGCCGTGCGCCGGCGCGGCCGACAAGGCGCCGCCGGCCGAGCCGGACTCGCCGGCGCGCAGTCCGTCGCTGAGCTCCACGTTCGGCCACAGCACGTGTGACGAGCTGGCAGAGCTGCCCGACGAGGAGGAGGTGCGCTCGCTGTGCTCGCGCGCCGAGCTGGCGCCCAGCAAGCTGTGGGGCTCGGCCGAGGAGCCGGCCGGCTCGCCGCTGCGGCCCGACCGCCGGCTCTCAGCAGACGTCATCACTGTGATCGAGGCGGCGCCGGGCCGGCCCGGGCCCGCCGGCGGCGGCGCAGCGGACGGAGCGGCCGCCGGGCCGGCTGACCGGACCACGGCGGCGGCGGGAGCCGGGAGTGAAGGGCCGACCGGAGCCGGGAGTGAAGGGCCGGCCCCAGCGCCGGCCGGAGCAGCGAGTGGAGAAGCGTCTGTAGCGGAGAGTCAGGGGACGATTCCTGCACAGCTGGCCGGAGCTGGGACAGAGAGTGAGCTCTCCGGGGACAACTCTGCCGTATTAGAGGAAAATCTAGTCATTCCTGTTGCGTCTCAGCCGAATGAACAAGTGTTGGTCAGTTTGGAAAACGGGAGCATTGAAAGCAAGATCTCAAAGCCGACTCGTCCTCTGTTAGACTCCAAGTTTGGGGAAGCGTCGGCGCCTGTTGTGGCACTGCTCTCTGCTGAAGGGTCCGTTTGTTTGGAGAGTGATATTCCCGATATACCTACGTCGGCTGGCGCGGGTGGTACGCCACTGCAGTGGGACCCGGTGTCGCCCAAAGAGGCTGCGTCTGCTGATCCGGACCAGCCAAAGACCGATACTGCCGCGCCCGTGGATGTGCCGGCTCTGAACAGTGGGTCTGTGGGTCTGCTGCGCGCGTCCACGGGACTGAGCTCGGCGGCCTCAGAGCAGTCCACTCTGCCCTCAGAACAGCTTACTCTTGCCTTGGAGCAGTCCGCACTGCCCTCGGAAGGGCTCACTCTGCCCTCGGAACCATCCGCTGTGGCCTGGGAACAGCTCACACTGCCCTCGGAGCCATCCGCTCTGCCTTCGGAGCCATCCGGTCTGCCGTCTGGGCAGCCTGCCCCGGCTGCAGACTTCTCCCTATCTGATCTTCTGGCCCTCGCAGACAGCCCCATGGTGAGTGCGAATGAAACCCCGACGAATGAAACCACGGACGGCGCCGTGGGGGACGGAGCGTCGCTCTGGACATTGTCTGCAGGACCAGCATCAGAGTGCGTACCGCTGCCTGACGGACGTATATCGGATCCTTTGTCTGTGCCGGGCTGCCCGGAGCGGCAGGACGATACCCTGTCAGAGCCTGTACCGGTGCCGGGCTGCCCGGAGCGGCAGGACGATACCCTGTCAGAGCCTGTACCGGTACCGGGCGGCGCGGAGCCACAGGACGATACCCTGTCAGAGCCTGTACCGGTACCGGGCGGCGCGGAGCCACAGGACGATACCCTGTCAGAGCCTGTACCGGTGCCGGGCGGCCCGGAGCGGCAGGACGATACCCTGCCAGAGCCCGTACCGGTACCGGGCGGCGCGGAGCCACAGAACGATACCCTGACCAGCCTGGACGGCAGCGGCGGCTTCGAGCTCACGCCGGGAGAGCTGGGGATGTCGCCGGCCGCCTGGGACGCCGCCCGGCCGGCCGATACTGGAGGCGCGGATGCAGTCGGCACTGGGGACGGGGCTGCCGCAGCCACGGCTGTAACCGCTCCTGCCGCCCCAGTGACGTCCAATACCGGAGATTCCAGCCACCAGTACTCGCCCGGCGCCGACTCTGGCGGAGCGGTGGACGCGCTGGCTGGTGACAGTCCCCAGCCGGTGCCTACCGCCGCCGGCTCCGGCTCAAAGTACCGGCTGCAGTCGGGCCTCGGTGCCTCTGCGGACGGAGAGCTGTCTGAAGCCGAGCAGCGGCCCGGGCTGTGGACCGCCGGCGGCCCTTCCGCCGGGGAGGGCGAGGAGCTGTGGGCCGGCCGCGGCGCCCCGGCAGGAGAGGGCGAGGAGCTGTGGGCCGGCCGCGGCGCCCCAGCAGGGGACAGTGAGGAGCTGTGGGCCGGCCGCGGCGCCCCGGCAGGGGAGGGCGAGGAGCTGTGGGCCGGCCGCGGCCCCTCCGCCGGGGAGGGTGAAGAGCTCTGGGCCGACCGCGGCCCCTCCGCAGGAGAGGGTGAGGAGCTGTGGGCCGGGCTCCGGCTGGCCACCGAGCTCACCCAGGCGCTGGTGGAGGCGGCGCGCCGCCAATCGCCGCAGAAAAACTACCGATCCATGTTCCTCGAGGGCGCGGCCGAGCCGGCGGACGGCGCCGAGCCGGCGGACTCTGCGCCGGCGTCTCGGCACGGCCGCCACGGCAGCGGCGGCTTCGACCCGCTGGTCCCGTCCGGGGAGGGTCCCGGCGCCGCCTTCGACCCGCTGCAGCTGGAGATGGAGCTGGAACTGGAACAGGGCGGCCTGGAGCGGGAGCTGATACCCAGCGACGAGGAGGCGGCGTTCGCGGCCATCCGCGCCGAGCTGCGCCGAGCGCTGCCCGACCCGGCCGGGGCAGAGCAGCAGGAGGAGGAACAGAGAGAGCAGGAGGAGGAGGAGGTGGGGATGATCTGCCGGCCGGCGGTCCCCGGACTGGAGACCATCCGCGAGGAGGCCGAGGACCAGGACCAGGACCAGGAGGACGCGCTGCTGGAGGAGGACCACATCCCCGACAGCTGGAGGGAGCACGAGGACGCCTTTGTCGAGGTCAGTGGCGCCGGTCGGTGCGCCGGGGACGGGTACAGGCGGCGGCCGCCGGCCGGTGGCTGGGTGAGCCGAACTCTGAGCTGACAGTATGGGGACTGTCCGGGGTAGATGTAGCGCCGCCGCGGCCCCTTAGTCCGCCTCCTACCCTGTCTCTATGTGGAGTGGTCCGTTTGGCTCTTACCGCCCTGTCTAGTCTGTCCGGAGTGGTCTGTTCGGCTCTTACCGCCCTGTATCTGTCCAGAGTAGGCTGCTCGGCTCTCGCTATCTGGGCCGTGTAGGGCAGCGGCCGGGGGCCATGCTTCTTCCCCTTTATCTCTGTCTTGGTCAAAGCGGGATGCTTTGGCGGCTTCTGCTGTTGCCACCACTTTGGAGGAATAAAACGGTTCTTCTTTCTACTGCGCTTTCATTCTTCATCACTACAAAGCTATTTTATGACAATGTCTCATGCACTTCTGTTTCGATTAGCTTAAAAGTTCATAATTGTTTTGTGACTTAGAATATCACTAACAGAATCAAATTAAAATTACCACTTGCGTCACTGATAAGCGTCTCAGTTCTGCCGAAGCTAGCCGCTCCTCTTCAGCCAATATTTGTCCTTTGTTTGAAAGAGAGACGATGTTAGCTACTGCTCAAAGGCGGTCCAAATTGTAAAATGTGACATGAAAGATCCTACGGGCGCTAAAACCTGTCGAGGAAATGTCGGAGGTATGGCCGCCGGGACCTGGTCGGACTGCAATCGAACGGCGAGCCGCGGGCTTGTGTGATCAGTTCCCGCTCCCGCCTCCAGGTGGAGATCCGGCCGTGCGACGCCGGCCAGGAGCGGCGGGCGGCGGCCCGGTCGGACCCGGCCGGTGTCCAACGGGACCCGGCCTCCCCCACATCGGACCCGGCCTCCCCTATACCGGACCCGGCCTCCTCCACACCGGACACCGAGCGGCCGGGGGGAGGCGACGGACCGCCGGCGGCAGAGACAGCTGCCAGCCGTTCCCCGGACTGGACGGAGCCCACACCGGCCGCGGACTGGCAGGCAGCGGGCGCGGCCCCACCGGCCCACCCGGTGTCCGCTGACCTCCCGGCCACCGAGCAGCTCAGGGTGTCCGCTGACCCCCCGGCCACTGAGCGGCTGAGGGCGTCCGCTGACCTCCCGACCCCCGCTGACGTGCTGAGTTCGCGCGGCGAGCCGGACGGCTCCCAGGACTCGGGCCCGCCGGCGGCCGGCGGCCTCTCGGGGGTTAGTCACATCCCTGAGGGCGCCGGCTCCGCGGAGAACACCCCCGACCGGACGGAGGAGGTGGTGGTCCCCCAGCGGAGTGCCGAGCAGCTACAGAACGGGCTCGGAGTGATTGGGGGAGCCACTGACAGTCGGCCGGTGGGGGCGGACCGCGCGGTGGACGGGGGACGGCCGGCAGAGGGCCTCAGTGGTGACCTGGTGACTGGTGACGCTACTACTGGTGTCTGTGGTGACGGAGCAGTACAGCCGGCGGACAGCGGGCCTCCCCCAGTCGGTGTGACTGAGGATACCTCGGAGGAGGTCGGACCGCGTCAAAACGGAAACACTGAGGCACATGAAGGAGACGCGTCGACGGGGAACCATATCACCAGAGAGGACGGCAGTCTGTCCGCTCCGCCCCAGCCGGAGTCCAAGGGCGGCCTCGGCGCGGGGCCGACCAAACCGGCTCGGATCGAGTTCCGACTGGACGAGCCGGTCACCGTGCCCAGGAAACTGCGGGCGGCCTCCGCGGAGGGGGCCATCCTGATCCCGGGCGTGGGGGACGTCTACTCCAGTCTGACCGCCGAGCCGACCGCCGGTGACGCGGCCACGGCCAGCCTGGGAGGACTGGAGTCCGGGGCCGCGGCGTCCGGGACTGCCGCCGTGTCCGGGAGCGGCGGCCCGGAGCCGGAGCCGGAGCCGGCCGCCACCCGCCGGCCCGTCTCGGCGGCGCTAGTGGCCGAGCTGAGGGCTCTGGCCAGCTCTGCCGAGTCCCGGCCGTCCGCCCCTGTGGCAGAGGACCGGGCGAAGACGCAGCCGCCGCGGGTGGTGCGCGGCGGCGCGGCGCTGCAGCTGACGGACCTGGAGTGGCCGGCGGCCGGCGGCGGCGCGGCGCCGGACGGCCCGCCGCCGGAGCCGCTCTCCGACTCGGAGGCCTCGGACGTGCTCGAGGTGGACACGGAGTCGCTGGAGGCGCGCCTGGTGGCCGGCGGCCGGCCGCGCGCCCACCTGGCCTTCGTGCCGCGCGCCGAGCCCGCGCAGCCACCGCCGCCGCCGGCGGAGGAGGAGGAGCGGCGCGGCGCCGACCCGTGGGCGGAGGGCGAGTCGCCCTCGGCCAGAGTCGGCAGCGCAGTCGGAGACGAGTCCGACTATGAAGGTAAGATAAACCGGCGCCCGGCGCCGCGGCGTGTGTCTGAAATCAGTGGAACTCGGTGGGGGAGTGATGAGACGAGCGAGCTGGGACTGCTTGAATGAGGTGGGGATCGTTCTGGGTTTGGCACATTCCTGCTTACGGCACTATTTGTCAGGAGGGTGACTGGTTGCTAGTAGCACATACCTTGCATCAAACGCACAAGGCATGCACTTTTTGTAACATGTAAGTTTACGGTCGAACGAGCGCTTGTATAAAATATACACCGTAGTTATATGTTCAGTGTTCACTTGTATATTGGGATGGGATATTGCACGGTATTGGTGGCGTCAATGACTGCAGAGCCGTTGACAGACTCCCTGATTCGGTCTGGCCTCTCAGCGGCGTCATATTGCTCGCGGCGTCACAGCCGCAGTATATCATCTAATCTCGCCATACCGGCTGTGAACAGTGAATGTCCGTCCCCCGAGCGACCCGCTCCTAACACCCTCCCGTCCCCCAGGCGACTACGAGAGCCTGCCGGTCGATGTGACCGGGCCGGGGGTGGTGTGACCCGCTCCTAACACTCCCTTCCTCCCTCAGGGGACTACGAGAGCCTGCCGGTGGATGTGACCGGGCCGGGGGTGGTGTGACCCGCTCCTAATACCCCTCCCCTCCCTCAGGGGACTACGAGAGCCTGCTGGTCGATGTGACCGGGCCGGGGGTGGTGTGACCCGCTCCTAACACCCTCCCTTCCCTCCCTCAGGGGACTACGAGAGCCTGCCGGTGGATGTGACCGGGCCGGGGGTGGTGTGACCCGCTCCTAACACCCCTCTCGTCCTCCCTCAGGGGACTACGAGAGCCTGCCGGTCGATGTGACCGGGCCGGGGGTGGTGTGACCCGCTCCTAACACCCCTCCCGTCCTCCCTCAGGGGACTACGAGAGCCTGCCGGTCGATGTGACCGGACCGGGGGTGGTGTGACCCGCTCCTAACACCCCTGGCCCTCCCCTCCCTCAGGGGACTACGAGAGCCTGCCGGTCGATGTGACCGGGGTGGAGTGACCCGCTCTTAACACCCCTCTCCCCCCCCCCCCTCCCTCAGGGGACTACGAGAGCCTGCCGGTCGATGTGACCGGACCGGGGCTCGGGCCGGGCCCGGCTGCCGGCCTGACCCGCTCGGTGGCCTCCTATGACCTGGCGGGCGGCGCGGCCGGCGCGGCCGGCTGGGAGGGCGCCGGCGCCGAGCAGCCGGCCGACTGGCAGTACCCGGCGCCCGGGGAGGCGGCGGCGGTACCGGACAGGGACCGAGAGACGGGACACGGACAGCCGGCCTCACTGCCGCCGCTCGCCGGCTACCACGTCCTCAGCCACGGCGAGATCTACCACAAGGTGCGGATGCAGGGGGAGGTGTATGACAAAGTGGGAATGTGGGGAGGTGCACCGCAAAGTCACCATATGGGGGAATGCCAATGGGATTAATGGAATGCGTATTGTCTGGTGTTTCGCTGGCCGAAGACCCGTCCTAAGAACAGAAAGGTTTCGGCACTTGTTATAACAATTCAGGAATGTCTGTTGTTATAGATTACTTCTTTAATCCAGCGTAATGAAATGAAGGCGGCGGCGGCGCCGGACTGATTTCCTCTCCTCTGACCTGCTCTGCGCCCTGTGACAGGCGGAGCGGTCCCTCTCCCCTCTGACCCTGTCTGTCTGCGCCCTGCCGCAGGCGGAGCGGTCCCTCTCTCCCCTCTGACCCTGTCTGTCCGCGCCCTGTGACAGGCGGAGCGGTCCCTCTCTCCCCTCTGACCCTGTCTGTCTGCGCCCCGTGACAGGCGGAGCGGCGCCGCTCGCTGCCGGTGACCGCCGGCCCGCCCCCGCCCCCGCCCCCGCCCCCGCCGCCGGCGGAGTCTGCGGCGGAGTCTGCGGCGCTGACGGCCGAGGAGCTGGCTCTGGACGCCTCCATCCCGACCTACGACGACGTGCGCCGGTTCGGGGAGCCCACCGACAGCCTCTCCTCGGACGAGGACGACGAGCCGAGCCCGGCCGGCCGGCCGTGGCCACTGGGCGACGCGCGCGCCCGCACACTGAGGGACCGCGGCCCGGAGCCGGCCGACTGGGAGCCGGGGGAGCGGGACGGAGGGGGTGGGGAGATGGAGTGGGATGATAGACGTGACAAGAGGAAAGAAGTTGAACATAGTGACACTACTGCGCGCAGTGGAGATAAAAGACTGAAGGTAGACGCCACTGACGGCGAGGAAGTGTCCAGTGGCGGCGAGTGGGCCGCTTTGACGGGCGCCGCTCTGCCCGCCGGGGGAGAGAGACTGGGAGCGAGTGAGGGGGAGGGAGGGGACGGCCGCGGACCGGGAGAGCTCGGCCTGGACGAGAGCGGGGACGTGTTGGAGGCGCGGCCGCACCGACCCGTGCCCGGTGTACAGTGCGAGCGGGACTCTGAGCGGCGACTGCAGCCGGGGCCGGACACCGCCGTAAACTCCGGGCCGCTGCCGGAGCCGGAGACGGCCGTAAACTCCGGGCCGCTGCCGGAGCCGGACACCACCGTAAACTCCGGACTGCGGCCGGAGCCGGACGTTGCTGTAAGCTCCGGGCCGCTGCCGGAGCCGGACACCGCCCCGGAGATAGAGTACGACGAGGACGGGGTGGTGTTTGAGCGCTTGGAGCGTCCGGGCCGGCCGGCGCCGGGCGCGGTCCGGTCCCCAGAGGACCCCGCCGCCGCCGCCGAGCAACAGGACCAGGAGCAGGAGCAGGAGGGCGCCGCCGGGCCGCAGGAGTCGCGCTGGAGTCCCGAGGCGGCGTTCCTGGAGGACGACTCGCCGTGGTCGGCGGCCGACGCGCTGGCGCTGCGAGACCGGCTGCGGCTCATCAATGAGGAGTACGGCGAGGGAGAGGGCGACGAGGGGCGGGCCGAGCGCGCCGAGCGGCTGCGCCGGCTGAACGACCAGTGGGGCGTGGCGCAGCCGGACGATCCGGCCGGCGGCCGCTACACGCCCGACTGGGAGCCGGACGACGAGGACGAGGACGGCCTGAGCTCCACCAGCGGCGAGTTCGTCTGGCAGGTGGGACATGGGGGAGGGGAGACTGTGTCAGCTGCGGGGGAGTCTGTCAGCGGGAGTCTGTGTGACTGGGGAGTCGGTCAGGGGAGTCTGTGTCAGCGGGGAGTCTGTCAGCGGAGTCTGTGTCAGCGGGATAGAGATGGTTGGGGAGTCTCTGTGTCTCTGTGAACGGGGGAGATACGAATAGCCCGGGAGAGATAGAGATATGTTGGGCAGCCAAAATTAGCGGCGAGCTAAAGGCACTATTCCGCTTTCATAACACATTGTTTGTTTTTTAACTTACGGTCGTGTGATGACGAGAAAGATAAACAATGCATATTTCCCAGTGTAGAATGATTCGCTCTCGGTATGTTCCAGGACGGCGCGGACCGTGCGGCGGCAGAGGCCGGCGCCGGCTCCGACTCTGACTCCGACTCGGGGTCTGACTCGGAGTCGGAGTCGGGAGAGGAGGAGTTTACTCCGAGTGTGTGGCAGCAGGACCTGGAGCCCGGCCACGGCCTGCTCCGGTCGCCCGAGCACAAATCGGTCAGTGGCGGGGGGGGGGGGCACAGATCGGTCAGTGTGGGGGGCGGGGGCACATATCGGTCAGTGGGGGGGGGGCACTGATCGGTCAGTGGCGGGGGGCACAGATCGGTCAGTGGGGGGCACAGATCGGTCAGTGGATGGGGGGGGGGGGTTACAGTAAAGACGTGCGGTCGAAAAGTCAATTTATTCTCATGCTAGTGAAGATGGCTGAGTTCCTGTGAGTCTGCACGCAGTTCAAATTTAAGTGGAGCGGAGGTACTGTGCAGACGATTCTGAACATTGTTACGCAGACCATCCTTTCGGAACCCGTGGAATTCGGTGCACGTACCTTTGTGTGATTCTGAGCCGCGTTTGGCCGCGGAAGTCTGTGTGCTCTGTATCTGTGTAAGTTGTGTGTCTATGCTAGTGAATGTGATTCTGAGCCGCGTCCCGTCGCCTCTGACAGGACCTGCGGAAGTCTGTGAGTTTCAAGCGTCAGAAGCACCACCGGATCTACGAGTACCCGGGCGCGCCGGCGACCCCCGAGCTGGCCGCTGAGGAGGCCGCCGCAGCAGCAGCGGCGGCTGCCCAGCGGAAAACCTGGTCCTTCGTCGCGCCGGTGAGGGGGACGTCCTAAGCGCACGGGGGAGTCCTAGGAGTACATGGGGCATTCCACGATAGATCGTACCAGGCCCGTCACCCTCATCTCTCAGATTTTAATGAAAATCGGTCCTAGGGGTAATCATAGGCCCCAAAGACGCCTGGCAAAATATCAGACTTCTCAGATATAAACTTTTTGAGCTATATTGCATTACATTTTTTTAACTTCGGTATGTAACGGTGAGTTTGATGGCCTATAACTCAAGAACGGGTTAAGCAACCAACAAAAAGTAAACAACACTAAGCTTGCGATGAATCAAAAATTAATATTACTACTTAAAAATTCCAAAGAAAAAATTTCATTGTTGAGCAAAAACCTTAATCTTTTTTCATTTGCCTCTAATGACTTTTGGGACCAAAATTTTTCACATTTTTATTTTTTCAAAATAATCTTCATGTCATTACAAATCGACATGCAAAAAATTAGAAAGGTGTTCTTTCTATAAGTTCCTCATTTTCCCGCAAACAAAATGGGTTTCGGAGGGGTTGATACGACCCCAGCACGCCGTTTCGCTTCTAATAGAGCTAGAGCCTCGCGGAAAAAAACGAGCGTGTGTGCCGTTACAAGTCGCAGCGATTGGTACCCGATTTTAAGGTCTCAGGTTAACCGGTAGCGTCTGAGGTCAGGTCACGTGACTGAAGTTACGGGTTCGGTTTTTAGTAAATAACTTCGCAAAAAATGGCCTTAGAGCCGCGATTTTGGCATCATTGTGTTCGCCTAGCTCAGGTGCATCGAATGGTATACTTTTTGCTAGGGTGAGGTCAACTTAAGTAGTTGACCTCGGGTCAAGGTCAGGTCAGAGCCCCTCAGGTCACGAAGCTGGGCAAAGGGTATCATATGGCATATCATTCGATTCGGAAGGTCTTCCCGAGTCCATTGGTGGCTTTCCCGACTCTCTAGCTCTATTTGATCGGGAGTTATTGACGAAAAACTCGTACGACCCTAGTGACTTCATAAATGACGTCACGCAAGGTTAACAATGCAAAAGTAAAGCATTGGACTTTGCAAGGAGTGCATGAAATCACGATACCATGTACGTGGGATAGTTTAAGATCATTCTCGGCGCCAAAATAACAGTTTTTATATTTCCCCATTGATTTATAACAGTGATGTCACGTGACCGACCTGATCTCATGTAACCTTGAAAAATTCCCAGATATACAAGTTGTGAGACCTCTGGAGGACACCATGTATGCGTCCTGTAACTTTCATCTCGGACAGCTATGGTCATTGGCGTCCAAAACAATGTCAGAACCAAACAGCCTTTTTCACCCTCGCGCTTATAGGAAAGAGGGTTGAATGAACCCTCTTTTCACTTTTTTCAGATGACTCAGACTTGAATTGAAATTTCAGTAACCCGTGATGTCACTAGGCAGCTTTACCACGCCATTTGTAAGCTCCCCTCCCGAAATCACTATTCGAAACCGTTATCGTGACGTAAAATAAATACATTTATAGAAAGAACACCTTCCTAATTTTTCGCATACTTCTTAACAATGAGCCAAATATTTTTTTAAAGAAATAAAAATTCAAAAAAATTTGGTCCCAAAGTCCAAAAAATACAAATGAAAGAAAACTCGATATGTCATATATAAAATATAGCGTATTTTTCGAAATTTCAAAAATACATATTAATCTCTGTTTCATTACAAGTTCAATGTTATATAACATTTGACATTTGAATAATCCGTCTTAGAGTTACAGCCCGCCAAACTTAGCGCTGCAAAGCAAGATCCAAAAATGTTATACACCATAACTCAAAAAATACTTATCTGATAAGCCTGAAATTGTTACAGGTGGATTCAGAGCCCCTGATTACCCCTGAGACCAATTCTCGTCAAATTCCGAGAGATGAGGGTGTCAAATTGGAAAAAAGTGGTACGATCTATCGTGGATTGCCCCACATGTGAAACGTAACTGTCCCATATCAGGGGAAAAGACATGTGAATTAAATTTATTGCACCGTTACTGCCACGTATATCGCAAAAGCGCCCGACCCCCCCCCCCCCCGTGACCCACGACACCGACTGGGAGCTGGACTGTCCCACTGACCCCCTGTGTGTGGGACAGGCGGCCGTGACCCTGGACGGTCCCACTGACCCCCTGTGTGTGGGACAGGCGGCCGTGACCCTGGACGGTCCCACTGACCCCCTGTGTGTGGGACAGGCGGCGGTGACCCTGGACGGTCCCACTGACCCCCTGTGTGTGGGACAGGCGGCCGTGACCCTGGACGGTCCCACTGACCCCCTGTGTGTGGGACAGGCGGCCGTGACCCTGGACGGTCCCACTGACCCCCTGTGTGTGGGACAGGCGGCCGTGACCCTGGACGGTCCCACTGACCCCCTGTGTGTGGGACAGGCGGCGGTGACCCTGGACTGTCCCACTGACCCCCTGTGTGTGGGACAGGCGGCCGTGACCCTGGACGGTCCCACTGACCCCCTGTGTGTGGGACAGGCGGCCGTGACCCTGGACTGTCCCACTGACCCGCTGTGTGTGGGACAGGCGGCCGTGACCCTGGACGGTCCCACTGACCCCCTGTGTGTGGGACAGGCGGCCGTGACCCTGGACGGTCCCACTGACCCCCTGTGTGTGGGACAGGCGGCGGTGACCCTGGACTGTCCCACTGACCCCCTGTGTGTGGGACAGGCGGCCGTGACCCTGGACGGTCCCACTGACCCCCTGTGTGTGGGACAGGCGGCGGTGACCCTGGACGGTCCCACTGACCCCCTGTGTGTGGGACAGGCGGCCGTGACCCTGGACGGTCCCACTGACCCCCTGTGTGTGGGACAGGCGGCCGTGACCCTGGACGGTCCCACTGACCCCCTGTGTGTGGGACAGGCGGCGGTGACCCTGGACGGTCCCACTGACCCCCTGTGTGTGGGACAGGCGGCCGTGACCCTGGACGGTCCCACTGACCCCCTGTGTGTGGGACAGGACGGTCCCCACTGACCCCCTGTGTGTGGGACAGGCGGCGGTGACCCTGGACTGTCCCACTGACCCGCTGTGTGTGGGACAGGCGGCCGTGACCCTGGACGGTCCCACTGACCCCCTGTGTGTGGGACAGGCGGCCGTGACCCTGGACGGTCCCACTGACCCCCTGTGTGTGGGACAGGCGGCCGTGACCCTGGACGGTCCCACTGACCCCCTGTGTGTGGGACAGGCGGCCGTGACCCTGGACGGTCCCACTGACCCCCTGTGTGTGGGACAGGACGGTCCCCACTGACCCCCTGTGTGTGGGACAGGCGGCGGTGACCCTGGACTGTCCCACTGACCCCCTGTGTGTGGGACAGGCGGCCGTGACCCTGGACGGTCCCCACTGACCCCCTGTGTGTGGGACAGGCGGCCGTGACCCTGGACGGTCCCACTGACCCCCTGTGTGTGGGACAGGCGGCCGTGACCCTGGACGGTCCCACTGACCCCCTGTGTGTGGGACAGGCGGCCGTGACCCTGGACGGTCCCACTGACCCCCTGTGTGTGGGACAGGCGGCGGTGACCCTGGACTGTCCCACTGACCCGCTGTGTGTGGGACAGGCGGCCGTGACCCTGGACTGTCCCACTGACCCCCTGTGTGTGGGACAGGCGGCCGTGACCCTGGACGGTCCCCACTGACCCCCTGTGTGTGGGACAGGCGGCCGTGACCCTGGACGGTCCCACTGACCCCCTGTGTGTGGGACAGGCGGCCGTGACCCTGGACGGTCCCACTGACCCCCTGTGTGTGGGACAGGCGGCCGTGACCCTGGACGGTCCCACTGACCCCCTGTGTGTGGGACAGGCGGCGGTGACCCTGGACGGTCCCACTGACCCCCTGTGTGTGGGACAGGCGGCCGTGACCCTGGACGGTCCCACTGACCCCCTGTGTGTGGGACAGGCGGCCGTGACCCTGGACGGTCCCACTGACCCCCTGTGTGTGGGACAGGCGGCCGTGACCCTGGACGGTCCCACTGACCCCCTGTGTGTGGGACAGGCGGCCGTGACCCTGGACGGTCCCACTGACCCCCTGTGTGTGGGACAGGCGGCCGTGACCCTGGACGGTCCCACTGACCCGCTGTGTGTGGGACAGGCGGCCGTGACCCTGGACGGTCCCACTGACCCGCTGTGTGTGGGACAGGCGGCCGTGACCCTGGACGGTCCCACTGACCCCCTGTGTGTGGGACAGGCGGCCGTGACCCTGGACGGTCCCACTGACCCGCTGTGTGTGGGACAGGCGGCGGTGACCCTGGACTGTCCCACTGACCCCCTGTGTGTGGGACAGGCGGCCGTGACCCTGGACGGTCCCACTGACCCCCTGTGTGTGGGACAGGCGGCGGTGACCCTGGACGGTCCCACTGACCCCCTGTGTGTGGGACAGGCGGCGGTGACCCTGGACGGTCCCACTGACCCCCTGTGTGTGGGACAGGCGGCGGTGACCCTGGACGGTCCCACTGACCCCCTGTGTGTGGGACAGGACGGTCCCCACTGACCCCCTGTGTGTGGGACAGGCGGCGGTGACCCTGGACTGTCCCACTGACCCCCTGTGTGTGGGACAGGCGGCCGTGACCCTGGACGGTCCCCACTGACCCCCTGTGTGTGGGACAGGCGGCCGTGACCCTGGACGGTCCCACTGACCCCCTGTGTGTGGGACAGGCGGCCGTGACCCTGGACGGTCCCACTGACCCCCTGTGTGTGGGACAGGCGGCCGTGACCCTGGACGGTCCCACTGACCCCCTGTGTGTGGGACAGGCGGCGGTGACCCTGGACTGTCCCACTGACCCGCTGTGTGTGGGACAGGCGGCCGTGACCCTGGACGGTCCCACTGACCCCCTGTGTGTGGGACAGGCGGCGGTGACCCTGGACGGTCCCACTGACCCCCTGTGTGTGGGACAGGCGGCCGTGACCCTGGACGGTCCCACTGACCCCCTGTGTGTGGGACAGGCGGCCGTGACCCTGGACGGTCCCACTGACCCCCTGTGTGTGGGACAGGCGGCGGTGACCCTGGACGGTCCCACTGACCCCCTGTGTGTGGGACAGGCGGCGGTGACCCTGGACGGTCCCACTGACCCCCTGTGTGTGGGACAGGACGGTCCCCACTGACCCCCTGTGTGTGGGACAGGCGGCGGTGACCCTGGACGGTCCCACTGACCCCCTGTGTGTGGGACAGGACGGTCCCACTGACCCCCTGTGTGTGGGACAGGCGGCCGTGACCCTGGACGGTCCCACTGACCCCCTGTGTGTGGGACAGGCGGCGGTGACCCTGGACTGTCCCACTGACCCGCTGTGTGTGGGACAGGCGGCCGTGACCCTGGACGGTCCCACTGACCCCCTGTGTGTGGGACAGGCGGCCGTGACCCTGGACGGTCCCACTGACCCCCTGTGTGTGGGACAGGCGGCCGTGACCCTGGACGGTCCCACTGACCCCCTGTGTGTGGGACAGGCGGCCGTGACCCTGGACTGTCCCACTGACCCCCTGTGTGTGGGACAGGCGGCCGTGACCCTGGACGGTCCCACTGACCCCCTGTGTGTGGGACAGGCGGCCGTGACCCTGTCCCACTGACCCCCTGTGTGTGGGACAGGCGGCCGTGACCCTGGACTGTCCCACTGACCCCCTGTGTGTGTGTGGGACAGGCGGCGGTGACCCTGGACGGTCCCAGTCCCACTGACCCCCTGTGTGTGGGACAGGCGGCCGTAACTCACTACACCGACTGGGAGCTGGACGGCGAGGAGATCGAGGACGTGTCGCTGACGGAGCTGCCCGAGTCGCCGGAGCGGTGCGCGCCCCGGCTGCCGGCCGCCGGCGCCGCCGCCCACTACTTCCTCTCAGCAGAGGGCGACGACGGCGACGAGTTCTACCTGGAGCCTGCGCTCTCGGCGGCCGGCTACACGGGCGGCAGTTCGTTCAGCCCGGCGCAGCTGTTCCAGGGCGCCCAACACGACTGGGGCGCCGCGGCCGAGCACGACTGGGGCGCCGCGCCAGAGGGACGCTTCGTGGACGTGTGGGCGCGCGGGGGCGCCGGCCGCGCCGAGGAGGCCGTCTCGCCGGACGTGGCCGAGCGGCCGCTGGTGGCGGGCCCGCCGGGGCAGCCCGGTGCCGCAGTGTCAGAGGTGGGTCCGGACTGCGGTGTCACAGTGTCAGAGGTGGGCCTGGACCGTGATACCGCAGTGTCAGAGGTGGTCACGGACCGTGATACCGCAGTGTCAGAGGTGGGCCCGGCCGGTGGCGCCGCAGTGTCAGAGGTGGGCCCGGACTGTAATACCGCAGTGTCGGAGGTGGCCGCCGACCCCGGAGAGGAGCGGGCGGCGTCCCCCGGACCGGCCGCGGCGGCGCCGGAGCCGGACTGTGACGACGGTGGTGGACCGTCCGCGGCGGCGGCGGCCGAGCGGGCGGAGACAACTGCTAAAGTGACGGAGTCGGCTGTGTCAGGGACAGAAACAACTGTATTAGAGATCACTGCCCCGGGGACAGAGACGGGTGTCTCGGCGACGACTGTCCCGGAGACAGACCGGGCTGGTTCTCGGCTGGTGGAGACAGCTGGTGAGGGAGCGATACCTGCCTCTGGGGCGGTACCAGCGGCGCCGGACGGAGGGCTGCCAGCCGCCGGCCCGGCAGTGGAGCCGCAGTCGGCGCAGGCCGGCCCGCCCTCCCCCGGCGCCGCGCCGGCCGGATCGCTCACTGACGGCGGCGCCGGCGACCCTACGCGCCCGGAGCCGACAGAGGCGGCCGCCGGGAGCGGGCAGCCGGCGGAGGCGGAGCGGCAGCCGGCGGAGGCGGAGCGGCGGCCGGCGGAGGCGGAGCGGCGGCCGGCGGAGGCGGAGCGGCGGCCGGCGGAGGCGGAGCGGCGGCCGGCGGAGGGAGAGCGGCGGCCGGCGCGCGACAAGCTCTTCCTGGACCTGACGGGCGCGCCGTCCGACACGGTCGACAGCGGCTACACGGGCTCCTGCGACGACCGCACGCTGGCCGCCTTCGCCGCGCTGGCCGCCCGGCCCGAGTGACACGGCGGACGGACGGGACCCAGCGGCGGGACCCAGCGGCGGGACCCAGCGGCGGGACCCAGTGGCGGGACCCAGTGACGGGAGCCAGTGGCGGGAGCCGGTCACAGTGACGGTAACCCGCGCCGGCCGGCGGAAATCACCCAGTGCAATATAATTTATTTTTGTTGCGTGCGTCGGGCGCGCGTCGCCCACATATCAGGAGCCGGTGCGCCGCGGCGGCGCTGGCGGACCGCTCTACTCGACTCAGCAGTGTGTGTGTGTGTGGCGGCCGGTGGCGCTGTGGGACCGGGCGCGGTCTCCGAGTCGTGCCTCCGCCTGTTACATTATTGGCCGCCGACGGCCGGCGAGTTAATGTTACCCTGATATATGGGACCTCCCCCGGGCGGACGAGTCCACTTTGTGACGGCGCCGAGTACCGTGTACTGGCGGCCGCCCGGGCGAGTCCACTGTCTGCCGCGGGGGAGGTCGGAGGGAGCTGTCACAGCGAGAATGCTGCTATGAAACCGTCCTCGATGTGAGAGAAGAGAGGGTGAGAGAGAGCGGACAGAGGTCTGCAGCGGGCATTCCTGAGCGGGTGTTGTTTGTCACGTGACCGAGGCGTTCAGCACGGGTACGCCTATGGCGGCCAGTCACGTGATGTGTGACATGTGTTGGTCAATAGACTTGCTCACTGACTGTTCGCTGTTTTCAGTCCTGTGCTGTGTAGTGCTGTGTGTTTAGCAGCGCCGGACCTGTGACCGTCCCGGGCTGGAGGGAGTAGTGTAGGAGGTACTCGGAGGGGGGCGACCGCTGTGACCGGTCGAGGAACGCTGGGACCGCCGCGGGCCGGCCAGAAATGTCCGGCGGCCGGCCGTCCTGACGTGACGACCTCCCCATCCGAGTGCCGTCCAGGGGAGTGGGTTCGGTTGGAACCGCTGCAGTTGGCTGTCTTAGACTGGAGGAACCGGCTGATGACATCTGACAAACGTTGACTCGAGGCATTGTGAACGTAAATAATGTGGCGATTTGGACCACGAGGTGCGGAGGCACGGCTCAGTCGAACCTGACAAACCGTTGGCCTGTCTCATGGAGGAGAGGCGCCCTACCAGGTAGCGGCGCCCGCTCCATTGTGACAGCAGCTTCCCTGGCCGAGGCGCCTGCGCCACCGTAACTGCAGCTCCCGTCCCAACCTCCGTCCCAAACGCGCCGAAAAGTGATGTGCCTGTATTTTCCACCGCTATGAGTTCGGCTAAAACCTCTGCGACCCTGACCCGTCGCCCTAATGAACGTGAAAAGGGACCAAAAGTAGCCGCCCGGCCGCGGACAGCGCAGGGCGGCCGCCGCTCGTACAGACGGCGAGTTCGCGCGGACGCCGTGGAAATGTGAGGCGGCCAGTGACGCGCGGTCGGTCAGAGCCCCGCGCGCCGCATAGATAGCACATACAGCACACTGCCGCACAGTCAGCACATACCTACAGCACGTGCCGCACCGACAGCACACCCCGCCGCACAGCCCCCCCCCCCCCCCCTCCCTCCCCCACACACACGGGCACGCACGGACACACACACATACACACAGGATGTCTGAGACCGCATTCAGTCTCATTGACCTCCAATGTACCAGGAGTGGAGCAAGCTTCATTGGGTTAACAGACTATCTCAAACGAATTTAGTTCCGTAACAAAATCCCACAGAAATCGCCTCATTTTTCCAGGGGCACGGGCGACTCTCTGACAGAAATCACAGGGCCGGCGCCGGCGGCGGGCGGCCGTCCGCGCCGCGCCCATCACTGGTCTCTCGCTGACAGCTCATGAGGACCCGGCTCCGAGCGGGGCTCGTCTGACGGCGGCCGGAGCCCCCTAGTCGAGCGGGGCGGACATGGCGCGGGCCTGCGCGCGGACCCGCTTCTCGTACTCGAGCCGGTTTTGGCTGTAACACGGGGAGAGCACGGCGTCAGACGCAGCGGCAAACGGGAAACAAACGGTCCGAGCACAGCGGCAAACGGGAAACAAACGGTACCTCAGAGCACAGTGGCAAACGGGAAACAAAGAGGGCGCGGCGTCAGACAGCGGAAACGGGAAACGAGCAGCCGTACAGCATAAGAGAAACGCACAAGTGAAAGTACGAATGCACAACATTTTTAAGGCTTTTAACAAGAGGAAGAATAACAATTTTAACCAGAACATTACGAGCCTGCAACTTCACAGGCAGACTACGAGTTATGCAGCAAACTTTAGCTTCTGATAGGCACCTGAAGGATAGCTAATATAAAAGGCCGTAGGACGGCACACATCCCTCGACACATAACCTCACAGATGGTGATAACTACTCGGCCCACACTTCACAGGCGTGCTCCTACCGAACCCCCGCGCCGGCCACTCACCAATAGATGGTGTAGGCCTCTGCCTGGGCGGGGTCCTTGATGTTGGGGTCGTTCAGCAGGTCCTGGATGCCGAGCAGGATCTGCTTGATGGTGATGGCCGGCCGCCAGTCCTTCTCCTCGTCCAGCAGTGACAGACACACGGTGCCTGCAGACACACAGAACAGTAAAACCGCCAGTCCAGCAGGGACAGACACACGGTGCCTGCAGACACACAGAACAGTAATACCGCCAGTCCAGCAGGGACAGACACAGTGCCTGCAGACACACAGAACAGTAAAACCGCCAGTCCAGCAGGGACAGACACACAGTGCCTGCAGACACACAGAACAGTAATACCGCCAGTCCAGCAGGGACAGACACACGGTGCCTGCAGACACTCACAGAACAGTAATACCGCCAGTCCAGCAGGGACAGACACAGTGCCTGCAGACACACAGAACAGTAAAACCGCCAGTCCAGCAGGGACAGACACACAGTGCCTGCAGACACACAGAACAGTAATACCGCCAGTCCAGCAGGGACAGACACACGGTGCCTGCAGACACTCACAGAACAGTAATACCGCCAGTCCAGCAGGGACAGACACACGGTGCCTGCAGACACACAGAACAGTATTACCGCCAGTCCAGCAGGGACAGACACACGGTGCCTGCAGACACACACAGAACAGTATTACCGCCAGTCCAGCAGACACAGACACACGGTGCCTGCAGAGACAGAACAGTATTACCGCCAGTCCAGCAGACACAGACACACGGTGCCTGCAGAGACAGAACAGTATTACCGCCAGTCCAGCAGCGACAGGCACACGGTGCCTGCAGACACACAGAACAGTATTACCGCCAGTCCAGCAGACACAGACACACGGTGCCTGCAGAGACAGAACAGTATTACCGCCAGTCCAGCAGACACAGACACACGGTGCCTGCAGAGACAGAACAGTATTACCGCCAGTCCAGCAGCGACAGAGACACGGTGCCTGCAGAGACACAGAGAACAGTATTACCGCCAGTCCAGCAGACACAGACACACGGTGCCTGCAGAGACAGAACAGTATTACCGCCAGTCCAGCAGCGACAGACACACGGTGCCTGCAGAGACAGAACAGTAATACCGCCAGTCCAGCAGGGACAGACACACGGTGCCTGCAGAGACAGAACAGTATTACCGCCAGTCCAGCAGGGACAGACACACGGTGCCTGCAGACACACTGAACAGTAATACCGCCAGTCCAGCAGGGACAGACACACGGTGCCTGCAGAGACAGAACAGTATTACCGCCAGTCCAGCAGACACAGACACACGGTGCCTGCAGAGACAGAACAGTATTACCGCCAGTCCAGCAGGGACAGACACACGGTGCCTGCAGACACACAGAACAGTATTACCGCCAGTCCAGCAGCGACAGACACACGGTGCCTGCAGAGACAGAGAACAGTATTACCGCCAGTCCAGCAGCGACAGACACACGGTGCCTGCAGAGACAGAGAACAGTATTACCGCCAGTCCAGCAGCGACAGACACACGGTGCCTGCAGAGACAGAACAGTAAAACCGCCAGTCCAGCAGGGACAGACACGGTGCCTGCAGAGACAATGAATTATTAACCGCCAGTCCAGCAGACACAGACACACGGTGCCCGCAGAGCAGTGTTCCATTTCTCAGACTTTTTGGTGGCAAATCACACCTAATGGGGAAAATACTTTCATCCCTAAAATATGAATGACTGACTTAACTTCATCTCTGAAAAAAGTTTCATATATTTCCAACAGCCAGTTTACATGTCACTGTACAGTTGATGCAACCACATCCTTTTGTTTCGCACCCTGTCAAGATTCTGACATGAAATCCTGGTTTATCAGTTGGCATACACATTGGCATTACATCATTTTGCAAATATGCTTCGGTTATTTATTTCCTTTTTTCTCATCCTAGGATTTTTTTTCTTCATCGGCACACCCAACTAAAATCCAATTCTAGAACACTGCCGCAGAGACACAGAACACCACCAGATATACACAGCGATACTAGAGAATGACTGAATTGCGACTGTGAATGTGAAGTGAACTATATGTTATATGAGCTCTGCAGAACGGCGAGTACCGATAGTCGGCGGCAGAGACAGCCAGTACCGATAGTCGGCGGCAGAGACGGCCAGTACCGATAGTCGGCGACAGACGGCGAGTACCACCGATAGTCGGCGGCAGACGGCGAGTACCGATAGTCGGCGGCAGAGACGCGGTGCGCCTCGCTCCCCTCCGTCCCTCCCCTTTGCGTCTGGTCAGACCCTCCGATATGTGATTACCCGCTGCCCTCCCTTCTTCTTCTTCTTCTTCTTCTTTTGCACCTCACCCGTCGCCCCCCTAGGGGGACGACGGTGCAGGCGGGTCGACCGGAGGGTCGGTCCGCCCGACAGCCCGGATGAATTCAATCACCAACGGCGCCGGTCCGCCGAGGACGTCCCCCAGGCTCGGGTTGAGTCCCCAGCGGCGGCGCCGCGCAGCCTCGTAGGCCGGACAGTCGGTCAGCAGGTGGGCCGCGCTGTCCGGCTCGCCGCACGCAGGGCAAGCCGCGTCCACCGCCAGGCCTAGGCGGTGGGCGACGTCCCGCGTGAGCGGCGATGCGCCCGTCCGCAGCTGGGAGAGGGTACACGCCTCCCAGCGGGACAGGTCGTTGTGGCCCGGTGTGGGCGCCGGGTGGGGGTGGGACGCTCTTGTTCTCGCGTCGACCATCGTCCCCACCCGGCGCCCGATCGCGCTTCTGGCGCTGGCGAAGTCGATCTGGACGTCCGGCTGCTCCGCAGCGGCCGCTTCGCCGGCCAGCTGGTCGGCGTGTTCGTTTCCGTCCAGGCCAGCATGCCCCGGCACCCACTGGAAGGTGACGGTGGTGCCACGCTCGCTGAGGGTGTGTAGGCACTCCCAGATGTCGGCGGCCAGGGCGGTCACCTGGCCGGCCGGTCCCCTCTGGAGCTGCTGCAGGCCGGACTTGGAGTCGGTTAAAAGGCGGACTGCGCGGACGGACTCCCGGTCTTCTTCAGGTAGAGAGGTTATCACAGCCAGTGCTTCCCTGATGGCGGTAAGCTCGGCACGCAGGCTGCTGCACACTGCGCCGGCCGGGGCCCTGATACGTTCCTCACGGCCAAGGCAGTGGAGCTGGATCAGCGCGCCCGCGCCGCCACATGTCGTCCCCTCTCTCGCCGACCCGTCCGACCAGATGGTGACGTCTGCGGGCGGCAGGAGCTCTATGGCCCGGAGTGCCGCCTCTCTGCGCTTGTCGGGGGGGTCTGTGCGACGCGTGGGCGCGGGCAGGTCCACCACAAAGTGGGCGGGGGTCCTCTCCACTGTCCAGGGCGGCCGGCACTGGTACAACGCCAGTGGTTCAGTCGGCAGCTGCTTTAGCCCGGCTTCGTCGGCGATCCACCGGCCCACCCGCCTGAGACACGGCTTCTTGGTGAGCACCGCGTCCTCGTCGGGCGGCTTCAGTGGCGGCCTCCGCGCCGCCTCTGCCTGCGTGCAGTCTCTCCGCCAGGCCAGGTGGGCTCGGTACTCCAGCCGGGGCCGCACCTCCTTCTCCAGGAGGGTCCTGGCAGGATCGAGTGCGGGGAGTCTGGCGAGGCGCTGGCACTCCTGTCCGGCCAGCTGCTTCGCGCGCAACGACAGTGGCGGGAGGTCGGCTTCGGCGAGCAGGGCGTCCGTGCGAGTCAGACGGATGCAGCCGGTGATGAGGCGAGCACACTTGTTCTGTTCGGCCTCCAGTCGCTCCCTGACGGACGGCGCTGCATGTGTGCCAACTACGGCGGCGCCGTAGTCAAACAGCGCTCGCACGTAGCCGATGTAGGCGGTCCGGAGAGTGCGACGGTGGCTGCCCCATGTCTTTCCTGCCATCGCCTGCAGACATCGTCGTCGTCGGGCCATCTTCGCCTTCAGATCGGAGACGTGTTCAGCAAAGGTCAGCTGCGGATCGAACTTGATGCCGAGGAAGGTCGGGTGTTCGGTGGCGGTGATCTCCTGTCCGTGGAGCTTCAGATTTGGCCGGACTCTTCCTCTCTGTTGTTTGGGGTCGAGCGAGAAGAGGGTGCTCGTGCACTTGGAGACGCTGGGCGTCACCTTCCACCGCGTCAGCCAAGCGCCGATGTTGTCCAGACACGGCTGGAGGTGGGCGTCGCACTCTTCCGGCGTGCGGGCGTCGGCCAGTAGCGCCACGTCGTCCGCGAACAGGGATCGCGACACGCCCTCCGGTAGGCCCTCGTCGATGTCATTGACGTAGATGAGCCATAGGAGGGGTGCCAAGACACTACCTTGCGGGAGGCCCTCCTTGAAGACACGCGAGTCCGACTGGGCAGCTCCCCATCGGACTCTAGCACGGCGGTCGGAGAGCAGGGCCTTGATCCAGCGGATCACACAGCCGGGGATGCCCAGTCGCGCCATCTTGCAGAAGAGGGCTGCCCTCCAGACCCGGTCATAGGCGCGAGCGAAGTCCAGGAGGACAAGCACGGCCCTGTGTGGTGGCTTCTGCTCGAAGGCGTCGAAGGTCTGCTGGGTAATCCGTCCGATCTGGTCCATCGTGGAGTGGCCGCGTCTGAAGCCCGCCTGGTTTCGGTTTAGTTTCCCGCTGGTTTCGAGCCAGTGCTGCAGCCTCCCCTGCACCAGCCGCTCCGCCAGCTTACTGGTGCTGCTCAGTAGGCTGATGGGGCGATAGGAGGACAGTTCCGACGGCGGCTTTCCCTTCTTCGGGATCGCCACTATCTCCGCTACCTTCCAGGAGGCAGGCACGTCGGCAGCGGACCACGTCCTGTTCAGGAGGTCCAGGAAGTGGCGCTTGCCGAGTGGGCTCAGCTGCTTCAGCAGGTCGTTGGCCACCTTGTCTGGCCCTGGGCTCTTGCCAGCTTTAATCTTGGTCAGCGCTGTTTCCAGTTCAGCCATGGAGAAGGGGCTGCACATGCCGGCTCGTGATCCGCCGCAGCTGCATCCCCTCACCGCGGCGCGCGCCTCCAGCTTGATAGGTCGGTCAGCCGTCTTGTCCGACGGGATGCGCGACACCGCGGCATAGGCCTGGCAGAGCGCGTTGGCCTTCTCCTTGTCTGTGGTCGCTGGCCGGGCAGGGGCGGGATGACCAGGCAGGGTCGGGCGTTGCAGGGGTTCGGCGGGCTTGGCCGGTGGCTTCCGGCCGTCCAGGGCGCGTATTAGGCCCCACATATCCTGGTTTGGTCCCAGTTCGGCGATCTTGTCCCTCAGGAAAGCAGTCTTCTCGTCCCTGATCACCCGTTCGGCTTCTCTCCTCGCTTCTCCGTAGGCGCGGATGTCCTCTGCAGTGCGGTCCTGGGCGGTGGCTCTCCTCCTGGCCGCGTCCCTGGCCTGGACTGCTGCGTCACAGGCTGAGTTCCAGAAGGGAGCTCTAGTCTTCCCGCCGTTACCGTACGGGATCGCCTGCTTCGCTGCCCTGAGGATGGTCGAGGAGAAGCGTCGGTCCAGCTGCGTGACGGTGAGAGGTTCTGCCTGGGTAGCCCACCTTAGTGCCAGCTGGTCGTAGGCGCGTCGGAACTCCTCCCAGTTTGCCTTCCTGTAGGCTGGTCGGCCTCTGCCTCTTCTGACAGGTTTCGGTGGTGCGGTGGGGATGGTGATGGTGATCGGGAGGTGGTCGGACCCGATTCCTACGCTCGTCGTCCATGTTGCGTCGCTCGCCAGTTCACCAGACACCAGCGTCACGTCTGGGGCGGAGGATCCTCCTGTGGCAGGGTTCATCCTTGTCGCAGAGCCGTCGTTCAGGATCGTGAGCGACGTGTCGCAGCTCCACTCCTCGACGATTCTCCCGAGCGGGTCCTCCGGCTGGTGAGGGTCCCATGTTATGGCGTGCGCGTTCAGGTCCCCGCCCACGATTGTGTAGGGCACTAGGGGCAGACCGTCTGGCTGGAAGGACTGCGCCTGGGTGCCCTGTCCAGGAGCCCACCTCGCCGGCGGGACATAGACGTTCCAGACCGTAATCGCAGGCACGCCATGAGGGTGAATTTTGGTCGCCGCCACGTAGCTGAGCTGGTCCTCTTCCCGTGGTGTGTAGGCTGCCGGGTCGCGGGTGTAGGGCAGGTCCTCACGGACGAGGGTGATTACCCCGCCCTTGCCCCTTTGCCCCCCTCCGGTTCGACGTGGCGCACTCCTGCTGGGTGGCGCCGCTACTGGGCCTGGCGCGGGGGGCTGGGCCCTCTGGGTGCATCCACGCTTAGCTCTGCAGCCGGCGCACCACGTGTGGGGCGCGCGTCGGTCCCGGCGCTTACAGGTCCAGCCGGCCGGTGGCGGCGGTGGCGGCGGTGGCGACGGCGGCGGCGACGGCGGCGTTGGTGACGGAAGCGGCGGCGGTGCTTGGAAGTTCGGGGTGTCTCTTCTGGCCGCCACATTGTATCCCGGGAAGCGAGGGTCGTCGTCCTGTTGCATTAACTTGGTCTCTTGTAGTAGGACAACTTGAGGCTTGCTATCTGCCAGGCGTTTGTTGAGCTCAGTGAGGCGGGCGGCGAGGCCATTGCAGTTCAGCTGCAGTATCTTCAGTTCGCTCTGCTCGCCGCGGTTTTCGGACGCCTGCGTCCGCGGGTGTGTGGCTATGCGAGACTCGTCGCTCCTCATCGGTGGTGGAGACGGCTGGCGTTCTTCGCTCCTCGCCGGTGTCGGTGGCGGCAGTGGTGAGTCACTCATCGCCAGTGGCGGTGGCGGCTGTGGGTCGTCCCTCCTCACCGGTGTCCGTGGCGGTTGCTGGGCATTCGTCGTCGGTGGTGGCGACGGTGGTGACTGAGTAGGTGTGGCCGGGGTCCGCGGTCTCGGGGGCGCGGGGGGCATCGCCGCGCATCCAGGGCAGGTCCAGGGACCCCGCTCCCTAGCGAGGCGGCTGATGTCGGCTCGTGTCAGGCCGGCGCAGCGGTGGTGATGCCATCGTTCACACGCGCGGCAACTCACCGACGTGTGGCCGACTCCTTTGCCGCACACTCCGCAGGGGTAGCGGGGCCCGGGGTTTTCTTCTATGTCGCCGGCCCGGAGAATCAGCGAGGCGAGGTGGGCCAGCCCGCGCCCCGCGACCGAAAACCCGCGGCCCCCCCTGGTCCGGTGTCCGGTCGTAGGTTGCCTTCTTCCTCCAGGCGGTGTCCGGGCTGTAGGTGGGTGTCGGCGTACTTCGCTCTGTATTCCTGGTAGTCCAGTCGTCCAGAGGCACCACCCCCACGTGCAGGGGACGCCGATGGTGGCCGCTGCCCTCCCTCCCCTGTGTGACTGACCTTCCCAGTTCCCACCCTCCCCTATGTGACCGACCCTTTGCACCCTTTTGCGCCAATTGGCGATCATTGTTTTGTACGTGTTCTGATTAATGAAATACATTTATTCTATCTATCTATCTATCTATCTATCTATCTATCTATCTATCTATCTATCTATCTATCTATCTATCTATCTATCTATCTATCTATCTATCTATCTATCTATCTATCTATCTATCTATCTATCTATCTATCTATCTATCTATCTATCTATCTATCTATCTATCTATCTATCTATCTATCTATCTATCTATCTATCTATCTATCTATCTATCTATCTATCTATCTATCTATCTATCTATCTATCTATCTATCTATCTATCTATCTATCTATCTATCTATCTATCTATCTATCTATCTATCTATCTATCTATCTATCTATCTATCTATCTATCTATCTATCTATCTATCTATCTATCTATCTATCTATCTATCTATCTATCTATCTATCTATCTATCTATCTATCTATCTATCTATCTATCTATCTATCTATCTATCTATCTATCTATCTATCTATCTATCTATCTATCTATCTATCTATCTATCTATCTATCTATCTATCTATCTATCTATCTATCTATCTATCTAGCTAGCTAGCTAGCTAGCTAGCTAGCTAGCTAGCTAGCTAGCTAGCTAGCTAGCTAGCTAGCTATCTATCTATCTATCTATCTATCTATCTATCTATCTATCTATCTATCTATCTATCTATCTATCTATCTATCTATCTATCTATCTATCTATCTATCTATCTATCTATCTATCTATCTATCTATCTATCTATCTATCTATCTATCTATCTATCTATCTATCTATCTATCTATCTATCTATCTATCTATCTATCTATCTATCTATCTATCTATCTATCTATCTATCTATCTATCTATCTATCTATCTATCTATCTATCTATCTATCTATCTATCTATCTATCTATCTATCTATCTATCTATCTATCTATCTATCTATCTATCTATCTATCTATCTATCTATCTATCTATCTATCTATCTATCTATCTATCTATCTATCTATCTATCTATCTATCTATCTATCTATCTATCTATCTATCTATCTATCTATCTATCTATCTATCTATCTATCTATCTATCTATCTATCTATCTATCTATCTATCTATCTATCTATCTATCTATCTATCTATCTATCTATCTATCTATCTATCTATCTATCTATCTATCTATCTATCTATCTATCTATCTATCTATCTATCTATCTATCTATCTATCTATCTATCTATCTACCCTCCCTCCCGCTCTGACGGACTCGTACGCCGGCGCCGCGCTCACCGGAGGGGTAGACGTTCGGGTGGAACAGCGGCGGGTCGAACTTGCACTTGGGAGGCGAGGTCGGGTAGTCGTCCTTGAAGATCATCTTCAGCTTGTAGTAGCCACCCTCCCAGGCGGTCTGCAGGGACGGCCGACGGCGGCGTCAGATCATACGGCCAGCAGGCAGCAGACAACAGCGGCGTCAGATTATACAGACAACAGCGGCGTCAGATTATACGGCCAGCAGGCAACAGACAACAGCGGCGTCAGATTATACGGCCAGCAGGCAACAGACAACAGCGGCGTCAGATTATACGGCCAGCAGGCAACAGACAACAGCGGTGTCAGATTATACGGCCAGCAGGCAACAGACAACAGCGGCATCAGGGTATACGGCCAGCAGGCAACAGACAACAGCGGCGTCAGATTATACGGCCAGCAGGCAACAGACAACAGCGGCATCAGGGTATACGGCCAGCAGGCAACAGACAACAGCGGTGTCAGATCATACGGCCAGCAGGCAACAGACAACAGCGGTGTCAGATTACAGAGCAGTCAGCAACAGACAACAGCGGCGTCAGATTACACAGACAACAGTGGCGCCACATTACACGGCAACATTGGCGTCAGGAAGTCAGCAACAGACAACACCGGCGTCAGATTACAGAGCAGTCAGCAACAGACAACACCGGCGTCAGGTTACAGAGAAGTCAGCAACAGACAACATCGGCGTCACGTTACACGGCGAAAGACAAAATCGGCGTCAAATCAGACAGGGCTAACAGACAAAATCGCGGGCCAGTCGCGGATCCAGGGGGGGGGGGGGGCAAAATGGGCATTTGCCCCTCCCAAACGGCATAATTTTAACATTACGCCTATGGACGAGGCATGGAAAGAATCGATAAATTGTTATGGTTTGCCCCCCCCCCCCCCAAAAAAAAAAAACTCTGAGCTGGATCCGCCAATGTCGCGGGCAGCATGAACGGCGGTCGGCACGGCACTGATAACGGATTGACTATAACAGAGTTTACATTCACATTGTGTAACTATTTCGCTCATACGTCGCTCCGACTTACGCCCTTTTTGCCGGGAATGGCGCACTCCCACAGCATCAGGTTGAGCGTTCCGTCGGCGTTCTTCGCCGGGCGCGCCACGAAACCCTGACGGTGAAAAGGGACGGAGCGTCACACGAAATTACGAAATATCATTAATCAGTACCTAGGTACATATTGGAGACAAGAAAAAATACGCCGAAAAATGGCGATGATATTATCCTTTTAGCATAACGGGTCAAGTCATCTGAAGCATGTGTGCCGGATGACATAAGTTTTGTAATACCGTACATGTATAATAAGAATACAAAACATAGAAAAATAATGGCACGCATGTCTGGCTTGCAGCCATATGTACAACACGATAATGTGTGCAATGAGCATTCAGTGCCAGTTGAGACTGCATATACATACACTGAATCCATAAAAGCGATCATTTGCCCTCTCCGCCGTCCCAGCCAGCGCGCCGGGGGGGGGGGGGGACCAGACGGCCGGCCGCCGGCCTTCGGACAGCTCGGCCGCCGGCCTTCGATGTCGACGCAGTTCCCCGTCAAGACCGGATTGTCACTGCAGGTACACACGTGCAGGGTGTACGTCTCGTGCCGCCTGAAACAGGTCAGCAGGACGGGCCGCCCAAACCGTCTGGGTCTCACTCTGGACGGGCATGGCTCACTCGTTCGTCGCTGCAAGAGGCGTCTTATTAGAGGGCAGTCTCGCCAACACGTATGCATCCATCGGCAGCGTTTACTTACGAACGGGTGGTCCTTGCGCCACGCTTTTCTCTCCTCAGAAAGTCGCGAGGAGGCAATGCCAGACATGATGTGAAGCTGCTGTCCTGAAGTCACCGAGAGAAGTGGGGGCACTGGAAAACAAAACAGAATGGGCATTAGAGCATAGCAAACTGCTGTGGCTGTTCAGCCATATTGGCATAGGGAATGAGGATGCAAATGAAATGCTAGGCATTAAACATTTCTTGGTCCCAGAAAACAAATTACAACTAGAGAACCAGCTAGCTATTAAAACAACCAAAGCAATATGCATTATGAGTAGAAATAAGTTTTCCATCATCAAAAAAAAAAAAAAATAGATTCCAGGTGCCAGAGCAGTTTTGTAAAGGACGAAAATAAGAGCTGCCAAGGACCAGTCACCAGAGAGGGGTGGCGTTTTCAAAACTAGCCCTGCCGGCTGCCACTAACTGGGGGGAGGGGGGAGTTCTGGTCTGAGGAAGGAGGGGCAGAGCTTAAGTCATCACTGCCATCACTGGGGTCAGGTCTGGTCTGACAGGAAAGGGTGGCTGTACAGCCAGTATGTTGGCTGCCCTGCTGGGCACATTTTAACTTGCTCCCAGCCTCATGGAGGTAGGTACCACAAGAAGTTGCCCAAGCCTAGTGTAGTGTGGGTCACCCCACCATTTTCAGCCAGACTACAAAGCATGACAACACAGTCCATAAGCCCCACCAGATAGAGTGACAAATTTGTGCCAGCTCACACCAAACAGAATGGAAATCTATACTTAACTACATCATACAAGATCTATGTTTACCACAAAATCTAGGTGTCTGCACTTTAGACATGAAAAACTATCATAAAATATATTTCATACTGAATGAACATAACATCTTTCCAGTACCTACAACATTTTCTTAGACAAAGAGGCACCAGTGAAGCAGTTCTACACGTTACCATGTTAGAGCCTCCACCATTCCACTCTAAATCCTCGGACCTAATAGCATCTGCTAATTTCTCAACACCTCACACCTCCTGAGTGCCTCCACAACATTGCCTAGAATGAAATACTGTGCAAGCTGGCTGCTCAGGGCTCAAAATTGAAATTGGAATGCCAATTCAAGTTGCCGCTCTTGTAACTTATTTGTGCTCACCAAAAAGTTCTTCATTAGGTACTAAGAAAGTTGAAACAAATGATCTGACTATAATAACTGGTATCTTTACTCTAATATCCTCTGTCGAAACTACCTAAACCAAATAAAAACTGAAACCGAATTAACCAAAAACCGCGCCAAACTGAAACGATCAGACATTGGCATGAACCAGGGTTTGTTTAAGAACCAAAATGACAACAAAGAGAGGAGAGTAATGGATACTAGCACGGCGTGTATGAAAGGAACCATGCATATTGTACGAACCACGCAAATAAACTAATATATAAGCCCCAGCTTTCACACTCACCATCCGCCAAATTACGCAGCCATCAAAGGGCCAGTCCCCGAAATGAGCACGAGAGCGGAGATATTATTTGTTATTTTTTATGACGTGAATTACCTGAATACCTCTGCTGACATCCAATTAAAATCTTTGTAATTTCACTCATGACGTCATATTAAAACAAACAAATGTCGAAAGACTGTCAGAATGGAATGGCGCGTATGCGACAAAACCTACTTCACCGAAATTCGCACGCTCCTCTTTGCTCGCGCGGCGTGTGTGTCGTGTGTGTGGTCTTCGAGGGGAATGGGTGGATGATTATTATTATTAGCTAGTTCATAGTTGCATTTCATTACTCCTGCAGGCTCCCTATTTTGCTCAACATCTGCTTGAGACATGTGAGTAGCTGTTTTTCTTCGGTGCGAGCGACTTAAGCGAGTGTCATTTGAGCGAACCATTTTCAGCGAATGGCAATTCAGCGATTATCAAGTTCATCGATTATCAAATATAGCGATTATCAATTTTAGCGAAAGCTATGTTTCAGCGACATCTATTTCGTCGACTACACTTTGAGCGACTGTCAGTTCAGCGAAACATTTCATCGTCCTCTAACGGTGGATTTTTTTTTCTTTTGCGAGCGTATGCGTACGAATGTTTCCGGAATTTCTCATGGTTATCCGGAACTGGATGGCGGATGTCGCGCGTTCAAAGGTCAGACATTGAGCTACAAATTTAATGCTACATTTGTCAAAAATTCCAACAGTTCAATTTCACCCCCCCCCCCCCCCCCTACCCCACCCTGCTCTTTGTCAATATTGGTGACCAAACGTTTGTTCAGAGATCAATATTGCTTGTGTTTTTTTGCGAAATTGCCCCGCTTGAATTTGGATCAGTTCTCCATGTTGTAAAATTTGTTCTTGCCCCATGCACCGTACGAATTTCCAGACATTTGGGTGAGGTCCCTGAAACATAGACTGGATTCCCCTGTGCCATCTCTCTAGTTTATTATTGGTCCTTGGCATTCCTTCTGTCGCCCTATCTCTCACGTTCCACATTTTCAATTCAAATTTTGCCCGCCTCCTTCCCCTCCCATGCACCCCTTGTTGGTCGTCCGATGTACATATGTGTCTTCAAAATTCAAATGATGCGTAAAAAGGTGCAATAATTTCCTAAAAGTAGCAAATGATTGACTTTCGTCGCGTTCGGTCATTCGCTGTAACTGCATCGCTCAATTGGTCTCCCACTGACCACCATATATTCGCTCAATCTGGTTTCGCTGATTCTGGTCCTCGCTAAAGTTGATAATCGCTGTGATTGAATTCGCCGACTTGACAATCGCTGAAAAAGCCAATCGCTTAAATTGATAATCGCTGAAAATGTTTCGCTCAAATGTCGTTCGCTGAAATGACGTTCGCTCAGGTGTCGCAGAACCGTTTTTCTTATCTGATATTTTGATCAATCGATGGTTCAGGTTGTGATCCAGTTCCTCTGACCGGCATTGATATAATGCTTTATCAAGTTTTATGGGACTTTTATCATGGTAATTGGATCCATGTCGAGTTTCTTTTGATTCCATTTCGCTAACTTGCAGTAAACCTTCACTCTTGGCGCTGTTGTCCTGCAGGGCTCGTGACCGTAGTGAGAGCAGCAGCTCAGGCTCTGGCTCTGGTTCCGATGACGAAAAGAAGAAGCCAGCTGAGAAGAAGGAGCGTGGTCGGGAGCGAGAGAAGAAGAAGAGAGCTAAAAGTGGTAGCCCTTCTTCTAGTGACAGCAGCCGCAGGTCAGTCTTCAATCTCATCTTGAGCTGTGAGGATCATGGCTTCTGTCACCTACTACTGACTGCACTGACCCAATCACTGGTGCTGACACTTTTGACAAAGTACTGACAGTACTGACAGTTGACAGAGACACCAGTACACTCACTGGTCTGGCACTCACACTGCTGACACTGTGTGTGTACTGTGTACTGTTCAGTGTTTTCAATCAGTGCAGTACCTACTGACTACTGTGAGGGTGGGTTTGGTGGTTGTGGAAAGTACCTATCGATGAGGATCAGTTACCTGGCGTGTCTGCTGAGGAGGGCATCTGATGGGATTGTCGACTGACCCTCCCTCTGCTCCGTCCGGCAGCTCCTCGGCCAGCTCCTCGGGCTCGTCTTCCAGCAGCAGCAGCGCCAGCAGCCGCAGCAGCAGCTCGTCCAGCAGCAGCTCGGGCGGCCGCTCGGGCCGCGGCCGGAGGAAGCCGGCGGCCAGCCGGCCCGAGCGGCCGCCGGCCGGCCGCGACCGCGAGCGACGCTCCCGGTCGCGCAGCGCGCCGCGCCGCAAGGCCCGCTCGCCCACACCCAAACCGCTCAAGATCCACGTCGGTCACCTGACCCGGAACGTCACCAGGGTTAGTCAGCCGTGGGGAGCGGGGGGACAGTTGGGGAGGAGAGGGGGTACAGTCGGGATAGGGGAGGGGTCGGACAGTCTGCTCAGACGGGTGCCGTCGGCCGTACAGGGGAATGGGGGTGGGCTGGGTGGTGACTGGTGCTGGTGATACTGCCGAGGGGTTAGTGGTGACTGGTGACACCGCCGTGTGAGTGGTACAGTTGGAGTGGTCGGAATGGCCTAAAACCATGCATGTACAGGCGCCGGGCCGGGCAGCACGAATCGCTGCATTAGCAGATTAAAGCTGCCATGCACGGGTGAGCGGCCTCTGACGTCTGTCTGGACGTGCGTCACTGCAGTCCCACCGGCCCGCGGACAGTGACGGACGCCGGACACCGCCCGGAATACCACCACAACACGCCACAGTCGGGGTACACCCCGGACACCGCCCGGAATACCACCACAACACGCCACAGCCGGGGTACACCACGGGCCCGGACACCGCCCGGAATACCACCACAACACGCCACAGCCGGGGTACACCACGGGCCCCGGACACCGCCCGGAATACCGCCACAACACGCCACAGCCGGGGTACACCACGGGCCCGGACACCGCCCGGAACACCGCCACAACACGCCACAGCCGGGGCACACCACGGGCCCGGACACCGCCCGGAATACCACCACAACACGCCACAGCCGGGGTACACCACGGGCCCCGGACACCGCCCGGAATGCCACCACAACACGCCACAGCCGGGGTACACCACGGGCCCCGGAATACCACCACAACACGCCACAGCCGGGGTACACCACGGGCCCCGGACACCGCCCCAAACACCACCACAGCACGCCACAGCCGGGGTACACCACGGCCCCGGACACCGCCCGGAATACCACCACAACACGCCACAGCCGGGGTACACCACGGGCCCGGACACCGCCCGGAATATCACCACAACACGCCACAGCCGGGGTACACCACGGGCCCCGGACACCGCCCGGAATACCACCACAACACGCCACAGCCGGGGTACACCACGGGCCCGGACACCGCCCGGAACACCGCCACAACACGCCACAGCCGGGGCACACCACGGGCCCGGACACCGCCCGGAATACCACCACAACACGCCACAGCCGGGGTACACCACGGGCCCCGGACACCGCCCGGAATGCCACCACAACACGCCACAGCCGGGGTACACCACGGGCCCCGGACACCGCCCCAAACACCACCACAGCACGCCACAGCCGGGGTACACCACGGCCCCGGACACCGCCCGGAATACCACCACAACACGCCACAGCCGGGGTACACCACGGGCCCGGACACCGCCCGGAATATCACCACAACACGCCACAGCCGGGGTACACCACGGGCCCCGGACACCGCCCGGAATACCACCACAACACGCCACAGCCGGGGTACACCACGGGCCCGGACACCGCCCGGAATATCACCACAACACGCCACAGCCGGGGTACACCACGGGCCCCGGACACCGCCCGGAATACCACAACAACACGCCACAGCCGGGGTACACCACGGGCCCGGAATACCGCCACAACACGCCACAGCCGGGGTACACCACGGACCCGGACACCGCCCGGAATACCACCACAACACGCCACAGCCGGGGTACACCACGGGCCCGGACACCGCCCGGAACACCACCACAACACGCCACAGCCGGGGTACACCACGGGCCCCGGACACCGCCCGGAATACCACAACAACACGCCACAGCCGGGGTACACCACGGGCCCGGAATACCGCCACAACACGCCACAGCCGGGGTACACCACGGACCCGGACACCGCCCGGAATACCACCACAACACGCCACAGCCGGGGTACACCACGGACCCGGACACCGCCCGGAATACCACCACAACACGCCACAGCCGGGGTACACCACGGGCCCGGACACTGCCCGGAATACCGCCACAACACGCCACAGCCGGGGTACACCACGGCCCCGGACACCGCCCGGAATACCACCACAACACGCCACAGCCGGGGTACACCACGGGCCCGGACACTGCCCGGAATACCACCACAACACTCCACAGCCGGGGTACACCGCGGGCCCCGGACACCGCCCGGAATACCACCACAACACGCCACAGCCGGGGTACACCACGGGCCCGGACACTGCCCGGAATACCACCACAACACGCCACAGCCGGGGTACACCACGGGCCCCGGACACCGCCCGGAATACCACTACAACACGCCACAGCCGGGGTACACCACGGGCCACGGACACCGCCCGGAATACCACCACAACACGTCACAGCCGGGGTACACCACGGGCCCCGGACACCGCCCCAAACACCACCACAGCACGCCACAGCCGGGGTACACCACGGGCCCGGACACTGCCCGGAATACCACCACAACACGCCACAGCCAGGGTACACCACGGGCCCGGACACCGCCCGGAATACCACCACAACACGCCACAGCCGGGGTACACCACGGGCCCGGACACCGCCCGGAATACCACCACAACACGCCACAGCCGGGGTACACCACGGGCCCGGACACCGCCCGGAATACCACCACAACACGCCACAGCCGGGGTACACCACGGGCCCGGACACCGCCCGGAATACCACCACAACACGCCACAGTCGGGGTACACCACGGGCCCCGGACACCGCCCGGAATACCACCACAACACGCCACAGTCGGGGTACACCACGGGCCCGGACACCGCCCGGAATACCACCACAACACGCCACAGCCGGGGTACACCAGGGCCCGGACACCGCCACAACACGCCACAGCCGGGGTACACTGGGTCCCGACACTGGGTCCGCTGGGCCGAGTGGCGGCCGCAGCACGCGCTGCAGCTGACACCCCGTCCACAGAGCACCGGCTCGGCCGACCGCGTGGAAAACATACGGTGCACCGCTGGGGACCGTGGGGTGACCCGCACACAAACAGGTGACATTGATAAAAAGATAGCATTGCTCGCAGCTTTGGTATGCTGTTAGAGAGCGTCCAGTCCCGCACAACTCAGTTGAGTCATGAGTGTCGCACGTTTCCGTCGTTGTCAGTGCGTTCGGTCCCCCTGAGGGAGGCGCAGCTGGCCGGCCGGCGGGGCGCGGAGGCCGGCGGCCAGGGCGGCTGGGATCCAGAGCGGCTCTCGGCACACACACACACACACACTCTCTCTCTCTCTCTCTCTCTCTTTCTCTCTCTCTCTCTCTCTCTCTCTCTCTCTCTCTCTCTCTCTCTCTCTCTCTCTCTCTCTCTCTCTCTCTCTCTCTCTCTCTCCTCTCTCTCTCTCTCTCTCTCTCTCCTCTCTCCTCTCTCTCTCTCTCTCCTCTCTCTCTCTCTCTCTCTCTCTCTCTCCTCTCTCTCTCTCTCTCTCTCTCTCTCTCTCGACGCTGCTGGGTCCGCCATTTCCGTTGTTTTGTTGGCGCTCCGAGTTGAGCAGCTGCTGTGTCCTCTGCGTTGTCAAGGAAACGGCACTCCAGATGAACCTCGGCTGAAGCGGAGCTTTGCTGTGTCGGGCTTTATTCTGGAGACCGTGCAGCTTTGTTGTTTTGGGCTTTGTCCGGGAGACTGTGTGCTCGTTTGGAGAGCTCTATTGGGCTGTAATGGCTGCGGGAGCGCCGTGATGCAGCCAGTTTTATTGCTGCCCCCCGTCAGGGAGCGTAATCAAGGGTGTAATCAGGCGCTGAATTCGGCCAGCGACTAGCTAAAGATGCACTTATAAACAAGGTGTCATGGAGTCCATGTCCATCATGGAACTGGGTCGGGCTGCTGTGGCTGCAGCTCCCCTATTCTGACGGCCTGCTCTGAGGCTACTTTGTCCCGTCCACCCCGACCCGTAGTGGCCGGGTCACTCAGTGTGTGACGCTGCACTGACACTCTCACTCACAAATACACATACACACCCTGCCACACTCAACTCACCGTTGCCACACTCACACTCACACACTCGCCGTTGCCACACTCGTACACTCACGGCTCCCACAGTCCCCACTGGTGTCCGTCCTCGACGTATCGCGCCAGGTCTCCCCTCCCCCCGGTCCCCCTCTATTGTCGCGCCCCGGGGAGGCTGAGCTGATCTGGCTAAGTAGCGGCGCCGCTTCAGTGCCGGTGTGCCGCCGACTCCCGGGGGCCCGGCCGGCCGAGAGCGGCTGCGGCGCTCAGCGGCCGGCCGGCAGTCGAGCGGCCGCGTCTGTCGAGCCGCGCTGTTGAATAGTTATACGAGCAGCGGTGAGCGGCAGTGGCGCGGCGCGGCCGGACCGTAATTGTAACCAGTGCGTCCGGGGGGGATCATTGAAATGGAGAGAGAGAGAGAGGGAGAGAGAGACAGAGAGAGAGAGAGAGAGAGAGAGAGAGAGAGAGAGAGAGAGAGAGAGAGAGAGAGAGAGAGAGAGAGAGAGAGAGAGGCCAGGGTGTGTTTGGTGGAAGGCTCGGGCCGTGTTGGTCCGGAGGCCTCCGGAAGACCGGACTAATTCGATCAGTGGCAGTGAAGTGCTTGCCTGGGGTGCAGTTGGCTGGGCTGGAATATGGTGGATGGTGGTGGATAGCGGCTACCTCAACATCCGAGTTGTTGAGGTGGACCGGCCCTGGCCGGCGGGCGCCGCCTGTTTCTGCGCGCCGGACGGACCTCTGAGTCCTCCCCGTCACCGCACACTGGGCCAGGGGTCCGGAAAAGCGCTAGAAATTATTTGTGATTGAGTTGTTGATCTCAGTGACAAGCAAACATGCTAAAAACGAAGTGGGGCTGCTTAACCCTCGCCGGACCTATTGTCGGACCCCCCACCCGCTCGGCCGGCCGAGGGGGGAGGGTTGGTACGACCCCTTTTTGCCGTTTCGCCCCTAATGGAGCTAGAGCCTCGCGGAAAAAAACAAGCGTGTGCGCCGTTTCAAGGCGGAACGATTGATACCCGATTTTAAGGTCCCAGGTCAACCGGTAACCTCTGAGGTGAAGTCAAAAAGCCCAAGTTAGGGTTTGGTTTTTGGCAAATAATTTCGCAAAAAAATGGCCGCAGAGCAGCGATTTTGGCACCATCGTGTTCGCCTGGCTCAGGCGCGTCGAATGGTATACTTTTTGTTCGGGTGAGGTCAACTTAAGGTATTGACCTCGAGTCAAGGTCAGTTCAGAGCCCATCAGGCCACGAACTTAATCGAAGGAGGTCGTATCGCATATCATTCGATTCGGGAGGTCTTCCCGAGTCCATTGGTGGCTTTCCCGAGTCGCTGGCTCAATTTGATCATGAGTTATAGACGAGAAACTCCTATGACCGGTGTGACGTCATAAATGACGTCACGGAAGGTCAAAAATGCAAAAGTAAAGCATCGCATCTTGCAAGGAGTGCACGAAATCACGATTCCGTGTGCTTGAGATAGTTTGAAATCATTCCATGCGCAAAAACAACAGTTTCCTTATTTCCCCATTCACTTTTAATGGTGAGGTCACGTGACCTCGAAGAGTAGCAGGCATTAGCAAAAATTGCGAGTAGGGCATGACAGAAAGATGATTGGTGGTTTGTATGGCATGGCCATTTTTAACGGCTCGAAATAACATTTCTCAAAAAGTCTAACTAAAGAGTAAGTTGTTGTTGATTATCACTGACTTGTGTTTAGGGGTTAATAATGACTGAATTTTTGAGTTTGGCCCAGAAATGTTGACAGCATTGTGTGCGTTGATCAATTCTGAGCTCAGGGACATATATTTCATTTAGATTATAAGCGTTTGTTTTTCACAACTTCCAGCGTTTTAAAGAGCGCCGGGCCTTCAGTAGAGCGGCGAGGTGATAATTGCCCCTACATCATGTGGTTTACTGGCGCATATCTCGAAAAGTAGCAGGGAAAAGCAGCAAAGCACCTATATGGAACAAAAGATGAGTAATCAGAGGCTAGTATGAAATGTTCATTTTTAGCCGCTCAAAATAACGTCTTTATAAAAGTCTATTTAAAAAATTGGATATGATTTTAAATTACGTCTTGCAGCTGCTTGCAAACAGCTAGCTTATCCTTGCAGAAAAGCGATGCAATATGTCAGAATGATGTTGGCACAGTGAACAACAGTGCCCTGAACTAGTCTGACAGGAAATTTCGTTCAAAACGACGATTGGTCAACTAATAAATTACGACTAAAGTTCATCATTAAAATCGGTAAATGTGGTGGCCTATAGAGAGTCTAAATTGTCTTGTGTTTGGTGACAACTGACGACCTCAATTTTGACCTTAGGGCAAAACTAGCATCGGAATCGTATTCTTCGATCAATTTGGGATTAAATGATACCTATTTTGTTCATATTGCGGACAGTCAGTTTGGGGGAATTTCTAGCGCTTTTTCAGGCTGCCGGCCTACAGTGCACCGGGCCGGAGCCCGGCGGCCCCCTGCAGCCGTCCGCCGGGAGCCCCCCCCCCCCCCGGGGGGCCCCCTCTGGTCCTCACGGCGTCCGCCGGGAGTCCTCCCCGTGGGCTGTGCTAATTAGCGGTCACCAGAGCCACCCCCGGGGACGTGTCCGGCGGCGGCGGCGGCGCGGATGAGCCGAAACTGACGCGCCGCGGCGTGTGTGACGCTCATTGGCGTTGAGCGGCGCTAATTGGCGCCCTCCGATGGGCGGGCGACGGACTGCGCTGGGAGGCGTAGACGGACTGTGCTGGGAGGCGTAACGGACTGCGCTGGGAGGCGTAACGGAATGGACTGTGGGTCGGACCGGACTGGACCGACTGCCGGGGTGTCCGCCGGTTACATAAGGGGAGGCCAGTTCCCCGCCGGTTACATAAGGGGAGGCCAGTTCCCCGCCGGTTTTATATGCCTGGAGGTCAGCTCAACGCCGGTCCCACACCGGGAGGTCAGCTCCTCCACGCCGGTCCCATACCTGGAGGTCAGCTCCCCGCCGATGATATAAGGGGAGGTCACCTCCCCGCCGGTTATATACCTGGAGGTCAGCTCCCTCTGCGCCGGCTACATACCGAGACGTCGGCTGGACCTCGGCCCAGAGGAGAGCTGCTAATCAAAGCTGCTAATGGACGAGCCGGGCCTGGGGCTGCGCTTTGAAGCCGGCAGCAGCGCCGGGACGCTGAACTAATCAGGGAGTGAAGACGGCCCAGGTGTCTGATTATAATCACCCACCGGTGAATGGGGCGAGGCGGGGTCGGGAGCTTCGTCCGTGGCGCACGGACGTCAATCTCCAAAATGGATTTATAGGGCTTAACGAGTAATTTTATAAAACCAAAATCATTCGTTCTATTCAGCGCCCGACGCCGTAATGTTAGAAGGTCAGGATTATTGGTGTTGCCCGACACCCATGTCGCGGTCTCATTCGCAGCGGCCCAGCTCAGCGCGGCAGCCGGACCATAGCGGCCCACTCGGCGCCGGGGCTATATCTGCATCCTGGCCCATAGCTACTGGCTCAGCCGGTAGGGCTGAATCCCTGCTCGGCGCCCGGGACTCATAGCTACCCACTCGGCGCCCGGGACTCAGCCACCCACTCGGCGCCGGGGACCCATATAGCTACCCACTCGGCGCCCGGGACTCAGCCACCCACTCGGCGCCCGGGACTCATAGCTACCCACTCGGCGCCGGGGCTAAATCCCCGTAGCATCTCAGTAGCAGTGTCAACTAAGCGAAAATGTCCGGTGTCCAGGGGTTGTCTCGCCGCGATCGTAACGACGATCCGTAATCGCCTTCGGCACCTGGCTAGTTGTGTGTAGCGCTAATCACTAATCGCCTTCGGTACCGGACGGGTAAAGGGGTCCCCAATCGTTGGTTATGTGTAACGATAATGACTATTCCTAATCGTCTTCGGTAGCTGGTGGGCCGTGCTTTCTCATTGTTCGCCGTCAGTTCGGACAAATACCGGTGTCATATTCATTAGCATGATGTGTGTACAACCGCCGTGTGGCGTGCGACGCCGGGGGGCCTTCGAGCACTTTACATAATCAATGCGCCGCGGGGAGAACGGACCTCAGCGCGGACACATTGGTGTTCGCATTGCACAGTGCAGGCCGTGCGCCTTCAGTTTCAGGATCAGTTTCGTCATGTTGGCATTATAGTCGCTAGGCCACAGATGTGGGGGCCCAGGGAGGCAGGTGTCTGTTTTGGCTGGGACAATGACTTGAGTGGAGTTTTGGGTCGGCGGAGTATTGTTTTATATCTACTTCCTGGCGGCAAAGTTGACAGATACTGGGCCATTCGTTTGGAGCAGGGGGTCATTCTACCCTGGCTGAGACAGGCGTCCAGGAGCACATCTGTGAGATATTCTCTGTGTACCTGACCTGGTGTACCGGCAGGATCACATCCAGGAGGTGTATACCTGACCGGACCGGACCTGACTCGACGTGTCTACAGGATCACATCCAGGAGATCTTCTCGGTGTATCTGACCGGACCTGACCCGACCTGACCTGGTGCACCGGCAGGATCACATCCAGGAGATGCCTATTATCGGCGTATGTGACCTGACCTGACCCGACCTGACCTGACCTGACGTGTCTACAGGATCACGTCCAGGAGATATTCTCGGTGTACGGTCCGGTGAAGCTGGTGGACCTGCCGTCGAAGCGGTTCCACTCGGACCTGAACCGCGGCTACTGCTATGTGGAGTACGAGACTGCCGAGGCCGCCGAGTCGGCCATGAAACACATGGACGGCGGACAGGTACGGCGCCCAGAGGGACGGGCGGGAGGGGGCAGGGAGTGGGGCGGGACGGACAGGTACGGCGCCCAGAGGGACGGGCGGGAGGGGCAGGGAGGGGGGCTGGCGGGGCGGGCGAGAGGGGGCAGACGGGGCGGGCGGGCGGGAGCAGACGGGGCGGGCGGAGAGGGGACGGGGCAGCGGGCAGGGAGGGATGGCGGGTGGTGGGATTGAATAGAAGAGTCATCCCGTGTCTGACTGCCTCTGTCAGTGAATGCTCGCACCTGCCTGTATCTGCCGTCTCTGCCGTCTCTGCCGCGTCTGACCGCCGTCTCTGCCCCGGCGTGTGTGTGCCCAGATTGACGGCCAAGAGGTGACGTGCGCGCCGGTGCTGCTGCCGCGCCCGCGGCCCCGCCGCTCACCGCCGCCCATAATGCGCCGCCCGCTGCCGCCCCGGTACAGCAACCTGCCCAGGTGAGAGCGGGGAGAGAGAGGGAGAGCGGAGAAAGAGAGAGAGAGAGAGAGAGAGAGAGAGAGAGAGAGAAAGAGAGAGAGAGAGAGAGAGAGAGAGAGAGAGAGAGAGAGAGAGAGAGAGAGAGAGAGAGAGAGAGAGAGAGAGAGAGAGAGAGAGAGAGAGAGAGACGATAATGCGCCGAAAGAGAGTGCAGCTTTTGTAAAACGTGACACCCTTACGCCCTGTCAGCCGCTGCTGCTGCAGTGCTGACTGCTGGCCCCGCAGGTCCTTCCTCAAAGGGGCTCGGTAGACGGCTCGGGTGGTTGGACGGATCGGCTCCGTGGCGGCACGGGCGGTTGGACGGATCGGCTCCGTGGCGGCACGGGCGGTTGGACGGATCGGCTCCGTGGCGGCTTGGGCGGCCACGGTGACCGTGTTTAAGGTGTATACTCCTCGGGCTGTTCTGGGCACCAACGGGCTTACCAATTGTTGCAAGTAACCACAATTTGATAGAGAACCAAAACGGGTCGGTACCTAAGTTATGTATAATAGTTGAAAAACTTGGCTTGATGCAACGATAAATTTATCTTTCCTGTTTTTTTTTCACTGGGAGTCTCAAAGCGTCTAGTGAGTCTGTTGTTACTTTTTTCACTGGGAGTCTCAAAGCGTCTAGGGAGTCCGTTGGGACTTAATTCGACTTGCGACAGTGCAGTTCGGACCGTCCCCCGGCGCCTCTCAGTCTCGGCCCTCTGTCACACCGAGTCAGTCCCGACTCCCGCGCCGCCGTGTGTCTGAGCCGCGCCGCGTCTGCCGCAGGTACCGGCGCCGCTCACCGCCGCCGATGCGCCGCCGCTCGCCGCCGCCGCCGCCGCGCCGGCGCCGCTCGCGGACGCGCTCACGCAGCCCGCGCCGCCGCCGGCAGCCGAGCCGCAGTCGCAGCCGCAGCCGCAGCCGCTCCAGTTCGGCCTCCAGCCGCTAGGGGCGCCGCGGTCGCCCAGGGTACCGGGGCTGGGTGGACGCCGGGAGCTGCTCTCCGCCGGCCCGGACTGTACCGGCTGGACAGTGGGCAGCGGACCCGCTGCCACGGACCGCCGGCCGCCGGCTGGTTCGCCCGCCTGCCGATAGGCGGCGGACGGTTCCGCAGACTGTCACCAGATGGCAGGAGTGGTGGTGCGCAGTGGCTGCCCGCGCGGTTCGAGTGCAGAATGCGTGGGCTCGTCGACTGGGTTTGTCACATGATGGGTGGAGCCTCTGTGCTTGTGCTCTGGTGGGGAGGCACTCATTAGTAAAATCAGAAAGTTCTGGATTCATTAGCCCTTGTCCCATTTGCACGAATTGAAAGCGTGAATGAGTGTCCATCAGACCGTCGGGCCCATTTGCTGTCGCATGCCGTCGTCTGTAGGCAGTGTGGCGTCATCGCTGATCATCACCCCTAGTTTCAGCCACCAACATCCGTGCGTGTGTCTGTCTGTCTGTGTGGGAGCCAGAGAAGTCACCTCTCCATCCCAGCGAGGGCCCCGTCCGCCATTTCGGAACAAAGTCGGGGACCCGCTCTGGAATCATTTCAGCGCGTGTGTGTGTTTGTGTGTCTCTTCTGTCAATACACTGGATTCGGCCGCCAGCCTGTGCGATTCTCTGAGGCGGGATTATTGGTTTGGCAGACCAAAGCAGCGCTCACCTGTCTGTGATCGGCACTGAACAGCGGTGTCCGTCGCTGGACCCTGCTATAATCGGATGGCCAGCCACCAAATCATCCGACTCCCAGGGACCTGTGTGGACCGATAGTTTCGGTTCTACGGCCGAGGCTGGTTGTTTTTCGTCGCTGCTCGGAACGCGATACCGCTCTGATTCGAGCCGGATCATTTGGCACTCTGTTTTATATTCGAGCTGGTCCGGTCGTTAGGGTCGGTTTGGACGCGTTACCAGCGGCGCGACTCTCCGGCGCTCGGCGGTATCATCCCCGCAGCTACCGGCGGTATCCACTGGTGGAACTGACAGTGGCACGTCACCGAGGGTGGCCAGCTACTCCCGGCCTCCGTTCATCTGACCCCCCACCGTCACCCTGGGTCGCCAGACGCCAGCTACTCCCGGCCTCCGTCCATCTGACCCCCCACCGTCACCCTGGGTCGCCAGACGCCAGCTACTCCCGGCCTCCGTCCATCTGACCCCACCGTCACCCTGGGTCGCCAGACGCCAGCTGCTCCCGGCCTCCGTCCATCTGACCCCACCGTCACCGTGGGTCGCCAGACGCCAGCTGCTCCCGGCCTCCGTCCATCTGACCCCACCGTCACCCTGGGTCGCCAGACGCCAGCTACTCCCGGCCTCCGTCCATCTGACCCCCACCGTCACCCTGGGTCGCCAGACGCCAGCTGCTCCCGGCCTCCGTCCATCTGACCCCCCACCGTCACCGTAGCTACTCCCGGCCTCCGTCCATCTGACCCCACCGTCACCGTGGGTCGCCAGACGCCAGCTACTCCCGGCCTCCGTCCATCTGACCCCACCGTCACCCTGGGTCGCCAGACGCCAGCTGCTCCCGGCCTCCGTCCATCTGACCCCCACCGTCACCCTGGGTTGCCAGACGCCAGCGATTGCCGGCCTCCGTGGTCCATTCGGCCCCACTCCGTCCCACCAGAGCCAGAGTCTACCGGTCCCTGACTCCTGCAGAGAGGCCCTCGAGAATAACCCGCGCCGGTGGGGGGACGTTTTACGTCCCTCCATCTAATCAAGTTCTTTTGGCACACCTTGGGGTTCATCTCTTCATAGACAGGGCATTCAAAGTCGGGTCACCAGTCAAGGTCACCAGTCAGGAAAACTAAGATGCTCGCCGCAGCTACACCAACTGAACGATTGTTATGAAACCGGTGATTTATCAGGGTGCACTTATTTTCAGGTTCAGGTCAAAATTCAGCTATAAGATCCGTATCCCGTATCCGGAGCGTCTCGTCAGCAGCGTTCGTGGCCTACCGCCTCGCCTGTGTCGATACGGCCGCTGGTTCTCTGGCCAGTGGCCACCGGCCGGGGCCGTTCAGCGACCCCCCCCCCCCCCCCCCAGCGAGTGGTGGGTGGCAATATACCTACTCCAGCTACTGGCTGAGAAGACGCTGCCGCGGATAGGTAGGGGAGAGCGGGGCCAGTTGAACCACTTTTTGTATATTGACATGCACAGCGAGATCTAGTTGTCATATCGAAAAATGCACAATGCTAAGTATAATGATGAAAGAAAACCGAAGCCTCATAATAATGAATGTATTCTAAATCTCTTTCTCTCGGTCATAATTTAGAATACATTCATTATTATGAGGCTTCGGTTTTCTTTCATCATTATACTTATCATCATGAGCCTCAAACAAGCGCTTTCTCATATTAATGCACAATGCCATGAAAAAATATGCTCTTTTGGCTTTATTTTAAGATATGTAAAATTATGTTTCAAACTTATTTTGCTGCCAAACGCATGCTTATAAAACAGCTCTACGCCCGTTTCAAATGACCCCGATGCGAGGGTCAATTGAACCAGCCCATGGGGTCAATTGAACCTATCCTTAACCCTATTCCTGGCGGGGGGGGCCTCAGGAGCCCCCCCTGAGGTTTTTTGGTTATATCTCCCAAACGCGTTGAGCTAGGAAGCTCAAATTTTCTGACTTTTCCTAAAAGGCTTCTACGCAACATGTCTGAAAATTTTGAGTTGATCTGACCTCAGGTCAGGTCACCAGAGGCGGTTTGGTGACGCTACCTCAGAAAAGTTTGCAATCACGCCAGAGCTAGAGTTTTTGACCGATCAATTTCTTCTCTTCAGGGTTTAGTTAGGGTACCAGTATGTGCAATTTGTATATCTCGGAATTTTGATATCGGTGACCTAAGGTCAGGTTAATTTCGCGACCTCCCCATTATAAGTCAATGGGGGAAAAATCAACTCCCTGTTTTTACCACTAAAACGGGTCGGAATGGCCCCATATACCATACATGACTTCATATACGATCAACCTTCACTACCTTGAGGTCTGTTTTGCTGTTGGGCAGCTGTGAGGTCATGTGACGTCATCAAAGGTCACCAAATGTTTTTGGCCAATAACTCCGTACAGGAACAAGATACAGACGCGTGGATGGTCTCATTGTGTTCAGCTCGTCAAGACGCATCGAATGATATACATGATGACCTCGAGGTCACGTGACCTGAGGTCAACCTTTGACCTTGACCTTTCGAGGTCAACATATATATCATTCGATGCGGATTGACGAGAGAATCACGATGATGCCCTTAGTTTGTTCCTATCTTGACTAATTCGAAAGTTATTCGAGAAAAACTCTCTCCATATCTAGTGCCGCCATTTTGACTTTTTCGACCCCTGTGACGTCATCTTTGACCTGACCTGAAAATGACCTTTGTAAAAATTGTAGATCTTGGCCGTGCGTATCCGATGCCGTTTACCGCTTGTCGCTATCTTGCTTCGTTCTCGAGATCTCAGGGGGGGGGCCGAATCGGCCCCCCCCCCCCCGCCAGTTTCTTGTCCCGGCGGAGCCCGCCAGGAATAGGGTTAACAATGTGATGTTTTCCTCTTTAAGGCCACTTTCTTAAGGAGATATTTTGTCCGGTTTACTTTTCCAAATGGTACATTCAATAGGTCGTTGGAAAGCTAAAAGTGCAAAGTTCCTCATAATTGGTGACATAAAGCACATAGACTATGGTAAAATGGGCGGATGAGAAAAATTAGAAATATCTCAGGCTATAGTGTGCTTTCAAGCAAAAGGCTGGAGAAAAAGGAGTCAAAAATTGAGCTCTATTAAAGGAAAGGGGCCACCTTTAACATGGGGATTGAAACTGAGATAGCCATCTTGTAGCCCGTGTCCGAAAACTTAACTGTCTACCTCCTTACGGCCGATTTCGGCCTCCATTCGTAGTTATCGGCAATTTTAAAAGAAAATACGCCAGGAATGCGTCCTTATCCCAGGAATGCGTTCTTATCAGACAATACAGCCACCCGCGGCGAGGCTTTGGTTTTTTACCAATCAGCTCCAACCAGCTCAGCTTTAACCAATCAGCTTATCTGACACAATCCGACGAGTCTGTCTTCTGAACGCTGATTGGCTTGAGTGTGACGTCATCGCTATGCCATCATACAGTAGGTGCCGTAGAGAGTATCAACATAGTACCAATATGTTAAATAGTTTTAAATACTTTTTCGCGAATTGTGCACTTCTGGCACCAGTTTTAAAAAGAAAATAAAAAATAATAATGTCAAAATGAAAAACAACGATATCTTCATATTTCACGAAGGTGGCCCTTTTCCTTTAAACTACTATTTCAGTTTAAAAGCTCATTTCAAAGGTGGACTATTTCCTTTAATGTTTACAGCCCCTGAACAATAACCATTGCAAAGGTCACCGGGGTCAATTGAAACGGCCTGTGGCACTGTTTCAACTGACCCTCAGAAAAGCGTTTCAATTGACCCCATCCGCTCCCGCCATCTCGCACGCGCCGTAAAGCACATGTCAAACGAGCTGGAGGGACGGCATCATGCTGAATGAAGGGCCAAATAAGGTGTTATTCCGGAGCCAGGAGTTCTTCTTTCAGCAAACAAAGGTATATGAGATATCACAAAATATTCATAAAAACGATTTCTCCCAAACGCCCCTCAAAAACACAAAAACAATTGTCAAATCAAAATTACCGTCCGTTTGCCGCCCAAACGCCGTTGACAAAGGAAGTGATCGAGCGCGGATGCGCAGTGGTGTCGGCAACGCCATATGTTGCATATTGTTGAAAATAAAGCCATGTTTCATCTGACCCCGTGTTTCAACTGGCCCCGCTCTCCCCTACGGTTTAGGGGGAGCAGGGCGGTATGTGATGCATAAACTACAGCTGGGGCATTCCACGATAGATCGTACCAGGCCCGTCACCCTCATCTCTCAGATTTTAATGAAAATCGGTCCTAGGGGTAATCATAGGCCCTAAAGACGCCTGGCAAAATATCAGACTTCTCAGATCAAAACTTTTGGAGTTATATTGCATTACATTTTTTTAACTTCGGTTTGTAACGGTGAGTTTGATGGCCTATAACTCAAGAACGGATTAAGCAACCAACAAAAAGTAAACAACACTAAGCTTGCGATGAATCAAAAATTAATATTACTATTTAAAAATTCCAAAGAAAAAATTTCATTGTTTAGCAAAAACCTTAATCTTTTTTCATTTGCCTCTAATGACTTTTGGGACCAAAATTTTTCACATTTTTATTTTTTCAAAATAAACTTCATCTAATTGCAAATCGACATGCAAAAAATTAGAAAGGTGTTCTTTCTATAAGTTCCTCATTTTCCCGCAAACAAAAAGGGTTTCGGAGGGGTTGATACGACCCCAGCACGCCGTTTCGCTTCTAATAAAGCTAGAGCCTCGCGGAAAAAACGAGCGTGTGTGCCGTTACAAGTCGCAGCGATTGGTACCCGATTTTAAGGTCTCGGGCTAACCGGTAGCGTCTGAGGTCAGGTCAAGTGACTGAAGTTACGGGTTCGGTTTTTAGTAAATAACTTCGCAAAAAATGGCCGCAAAGCCGCGATTTTGACATCATTGTGTTCGTCTAGCTCAGGTGCATCGAATGGTATACTTTTTGCTAGGGTGAGGTC